TCTACGGTCTAAGTTGGGTGGTGCAACCTTTTTTTTTTTATTTCGACTGGAAAATGCTTGAAACTGCATACTCGCCAGCCCGGGGGAGCCAATGAGTTATGTGGGGCTCTTCTTGCCTGAAGGGCAAGGCCTACCCACTAAAAACCAGTTTTTTTTGCAAAATCGCACCTTTAGGTATTTTAAAGTTTAGAAACACGACATACTTACTGTTTCTTTAAATCATAAATATTGTCTTTTTGTGTCAACCATGTTTTAATTACTTTACTTGTATGTACCTAAGAACGATGAATAAATATGAATGAAAGAAACAACTTAAGAAATATAAATGTCAAACTAAAATTAGTCTATTCTATTGCCTCAACTTTTGCCATTTAAACTAATCGTACTTTTAATAGTTTTATATTATTCGGCATGTGACGATGCACAGCATCTGGTGAGAGATGCGTCTACTTCCGGTGTAGTTTTTCACCATTTTATACCTTAAATGACGTCATTTCCGCAATTATTTAATAGGAATTGATTTGACTTACTTCCGTTTGCCGCCATTTTAGTCACCTGGGGGCGAGCTTGCTCGGAGTTCTTCATAGCGTCTTTAACTTCCAAACTAGCAACATCGTAAGCAGAAACTCTGCTCAGATTTTTACTGAAATAATTTATTTCTCAACGTTCTTATACTAAGTTTAAAATTAAAAAGTGCAATTGACCGCGCGTGTGTGACCGCGAACGACATGTACGTGATGGTGGTTGGCGCCAAAGGGGACGAGTGTCTTCCGGACGACGAGCAGGTGGACCCAGAGCGTCGGATACCGGAGAAAATCGGACCCCGGCGAGATTCAAAACGGATGAAACGAGGTACGTGGGATTCTGATAGCCGATCCAATACACAAGACTCCAGCTCAGCATCTCTTAACAACCATCTGGGTGTCTACAAAATATCAGAAATCATAACCAGCGATGGGGGATTTCTCATTCTTTCATTCATTTCATGTGAGTTCACTAATTTTGCTATCGGACAATCAAAGCATAGCCTATACTCGAAACTAAGGGAGGAAGGGGCACATTCAGAGCCTCTATTGGAACTGTCTCTCTAACTTTTCAACTTGAAAAACCTCACCTCCTTTCGGTTCAGTCGGGTAAAAATAGCTCTGACAGCGCAAAATATTATCTCCTAGGTCGATTCAATCAAATTTATCTGACGATCTAGGTCGATTTACGGGGAAAACAACCTACTTAGTGGAATCTCCTGATTTCAAATCCAAAGGTATATATTCCAAAAGTTCGGGAAACTGGATATCCTGGGACCCCACAGAGATTCACCAGCAGCCTTTGCAACGACTTCAGCCAGGGTGGCTATGGTGGTAAACTAGGCTAAATCTTTGCTGTCCCGTTTCTCACCGCAGCAAAAGGTACCTGATTAGCACCTCGAAGTGATCTTTCTGGCTTTTCTTAGCAGGGCTCGAGGCTGACCCTCAAAATACAGAATCTCCACCATGTTCTTACCACACGGTGATCTCCACGCCAGGATCAGGTAACATGTAATTTTTTAGTNCTTCAACGCCGTGCTTTATTCAGCGTTTTAACACTCTTGACTGTCTAACGCTGACCAAATAAACCGAATCCTGTTAAAACAGGTGCTGAAATTACCAGATAAGGCACCGCTCAGCATGAGCCTGCCCCTCACAATATCCCTTCGCAAGAAGGACAGACCAAACAACCTATTCTATTAAACGTCCTAATCAGTAGATACAATTATGTAAGTATTGAACCGATCACAGAGACACCGCCGGCCTCTCCGCATGTCTTGTCAAGGTACCCTAAAATTATCAATCTCTCGTTCTCTACTGCATACCGAAAAACATTGATAGAATCACAAACTACTTACTAAACCTCGTCACCTTTGACAAACCAGACGAGACAGCAACTACTAGAACGGAAGGTTTAAAAAAAAAAAAAAATAATCCGCAAAACATAATAATATCTTTATTTGCTTAGACTGATTAGATTGGTTCTTACAAATCGTCAAATACTAATAAAACAAAAAGCCAAGGATTCCAAATCAGTCCCTTCAGGTTCCCTTGACGACCAATATGTCAAATGACCATCCACTCAGCAAATTCTATGGAAGCTGCCTTTGAGCGTACCTATCTTGGGCATTGGCAGGCGTCATCATTCTGCGGAGGTCAACCTTTTACCTGACAATGGTTCCAGGGATGCGTCTGCCATTCACCTCCAAGCCGGTGCTTGCCCCTGCACCTGCAACGCCGTGCTTTATTCAGCGTCTTAACACTCTTGACTGTCTAGCGCTGACCAAATAAGAATAGCAAACNTGAAATTAGTCGACGAGATATTGGCGTAGGCAGAACAATAATAGCAATATTATAAGGCAGACACTTTTACTAACTGATCTACGACCGATACACCAAATAAAATATTATTTCATTAATAACTTTCAATCAACAGATCTAAAGCATGTTGGATACTCTTCAATCACATCGTACGCCTGTATTATAAACTTATGTTGATGACTCGCATGAATCTTACTGCCATGCGGGCAAATTATATCAATACACATTCAATCTGCATTTTAGGGTACTTCTCATCGCCACGGTTCTCATCGTCACCTTCGTGGCGAATTTTATTTCTAACTTATTTCAACTTTTTGTAAATAAAAATTGTAGCGCTTGATGTGAAGATTGTATTCTCAGTAAATCAGTCAAATAGTGAGTCTCGTTTGGNTTTTCTATCCCATCAGTGCAATGCACAATGTTACAAAATGTAGTTTTTTTTATTTAATAGATAGTGGCAGGTTGAACTAACAAGAAGGTTTTAGTTTATCAATCATAATAATCTTCTTGACATGTTAAATCGTCAAACACCTTTGATCTGAATAATTTTGAACTTTACTGCCGAACAGTTAAAGATTAATTTCTCTAACTCGAGATTATTCTGTAACATAGTTTCAAAAGGTAATATGTGCTCGCGATTCGTTGAAGGAATCAATTTGAAAACTGACGAACCTTTTCATTCCGTGACTGTACCTTATATCCCTGTACCCTATATACCTTCAGTCTTACATAGAATAGAATGCATAAGTACCCTAACATCAGTCTTGATGAGCCACCATTATCTCAAGCACCTCTCTACATCCCTACTTACTCGAAATTACGCAAAGCGCACGTATTCCAAAAATCTCCAGAAAAAGCGGCAACGGCACGTTTTTTTTCAGAGTTTCGAGTATAAATTCAAAGGAACCAGAAACACGTCTTAATTAAAAGCAGCTTTTGAGCCATACGAATATTCGCGGCGCCGACAGCCGCTTACTTTCAACTTTGCTACACGTTAAAGGCCAGAGTTGTTGGTATACATAGCTCTAGTTTCGTGATAAGTGCATACTTATATTTTATTGGAAAGATAAAAGACTTTTCAAGACTATTTTAGTACAACAGTATTTTGTGTAAACGTAAACAACTCAACATCACTAAATAGGTAATCTTCTACACCGTGTTACTTTGCATTCTTGCCATATTCACAGAGATAAAAGTAGGTAACAGTACCTATTATTTAAGATAAACAAGAGACTCCCATAAAGAAAGTACACTAAGATTTTAGTAAATTTGTTTTTTTAGTACAAATTGGAATAAACCAATTTTGTCTCGCACGTTCTACAGGTGCAAGTGGAATAAACCTAGTGGGCGTGGCCTAGTTCTTAACTTTATGGCTTTGGGTACCAGCCTTTTTATCCAGTCATAATAACTATTTTAAAATACTCTTCAGTTGACTTCAGATTTTCCTTTCTACTTTACGGGCTTAGGACCGTCAAAAATACGTAATAATTATTAGGGTTTCAATTAATTTACAACATTGTACCCTATTTTTACAAATTAATAAATTAAGTATGAAATGAAATCACCTTATCGTCCAATCCACTGTTCACCAAACGTATTATTCGCGCACTTGACGTCCTTATTGTGGGGGAGCACCATCCTGCTGGTAGTAGAGCATTTGGTGTAACGCTAAGGGTACGTCATCAAGCATTTCGTCTAAGACGTCTTGCAGACACTCCAAGCACCATTTTGATTAAATTATTCGTTGTTTGAATACACTTCAGTCATTTTTGTATTATTTATAACGTGATTTGTGTTTGATGGATTTCTCAGTTTTTTACAAGTGTCAAAAAGACATTTTAAAGACAATAGATTGCAATAGATATTTAAAAATACAATAAAAAGTAAAAAAGTCTCCATCGCCATTGCTAACAAGTGATGTGCATGCGTTACGATAATTAGTGATGTGTTTAACAGATTGTCGATAAAATAAAATATTCAAAATTTAAAATCAAAATTTTCGGGCATTATTTTTTAACGGATTTGTGTTCAGTATCAGTAATATAGTTACCTCTGTAAATATGGCAAGAATGCAAAGTAACACCCTGTATAATATAAAAATGAATCGCAAAATGTGTTGGTAAGCGCATAACTCAACAACGCCTGGACCAATTTTACCAATTCTTTTTTTAAAATGTTTGTTGAAGTCCAAGGATGGTTTTTACAGCGAGAAAAGTTTGAATAATTTCCGGGTAAACCCTAAAAAACTCGAAACTTCACCCCTAAGGGTAAAACGGGGTCCACGCGTACGAAGTCGCGGGCGGCCGCTAGTAATAAATAAAAATAACTTTATTGACATAAAAACAAGTACAGTATACAATTGCGAAACCCCTGACTCCTGTGCTAGGTGTATGTACCTGTGTTACAGGAGCCAGTGCCCACACTTAAATCGGTGGTAGGTATACCATTGGTTTGAGTATCAAAATAACAAGTTATTTAGGACTTGATATACCTCACAATTCTTAAAATAATTTAGACCATTAAATATCATGGAATTCTTGAAAGTAAATATTTATAAAATTATGTTTTCTTATTTACAGTTACAGTGATCTCTGTTATAAAAGACTTTATTGAACTCTAGCTTTTCTATGCATTCAACTGAGTCTTTTATTCCAGTGCAAAAGAACAAGAAAGAAAGATCCAAGCGCGAATGAGATACCTCGCCGAGTTCAACGAGAAGCAACGCAAGGAACGCGCTGCTAGAGCGAGAGAGAAACAGAACAGGATCAAGCAGAGGGTACAGGCTGCAGCCGAGATGGAACTGAGAAGGAAGATCACCATGGTCCGCCAGTGGAGAACGAACGAGAAGAAACGACTCAACAGGTTGAAGCAAGAAAGAGAGGCGAAACAGAAATGGCTCGAGGATGAAGTAAGATGTTACTAAAGCCTGGTCCGTGAGCACGTAGAATTTTGTCCAATGACCCCAAGCTACCCATCCTTATCGCTCGCGCGTAATTATATTGCTGTCGCGACTGTGCGACGGGCACCCGCAGTGAGTGTGCGAGCGCGATAGCAACATAATTACGCGCGAGCGACAAGGATGGGTAACTTGGGGTCATTGGACAAAATTCTACGTGCTCACGGACCAGATTATACAACCCTGTCGAGTTAACGCACCTGGCAGCCGTGACGTCACATCGACGCTCTGGTACGGATGGGGCATACGAAAGGTATGCGGGTAGTGGGAGGGAAAGTCACATCCAGCGAGGTGCGTAGTTAACTCGATTGGGTTGTAGGCATAAATGTTTTCTAGATGGAGCCGAGAGCGAGAGTTTTTTTGATCTCCGGTCTTCAATTGTTTTTCTTATAAAATTTAAAAAACAAAAAGGTAAAATTAGCAATTCAAATTACTTATTTGGCTTTTCCAAATTTCCAATATTCATTTGTTTCCTGCATTAATTTTTGTTTTCCTAATCAGTGTCTCAATATATTCAACTTTTTATCTGGTCTTGTTCCACGTCTAAGAATTCTCAGTAGGCGTAGGTAGTCAAAAAATTACCAGGAAAAATGGAGGCAATAAGCAAAGCTTCCAATAAAGATAGCTATGTACCTATTTAATTGAAAAGGTTTAAACTCTATCAGTACTGAAGCTAGCTCACATAACGTAATTATTATACCCTTACAAAATCTTTCACAAGCTATCGTGTTGTGTATCGGCAAACCAGCTTTTAATTTAAACTATGATTGCGACGCACTCGAACGAATTGGATTCGCTTTCAGCGATACAGTTTCCAGTCCAATAAATAATCGCTACATAAAGTGATCGCCCACACGTGTATTTATTTCTGTACGATGGAAATTAATTTTGTTTTTAACATAAAATACGTTCGAATAATTTCTTTGAGAGCTCATAAAAGATATTTATATTTATGTGTGTGTACACAGGACATAATTACTGTGTTTTCACGTTTCAAATAATTTCACAATTTCTAACAGAGAAAGTCTCTCAGAAGCTGCTTCTGCCTATATCCTGTTTATTGTTACCATAACCCGTTGTTCTATTTTGAATTTAATTTAAAAAAAACATGGGTTCAATTCCCGCCTTAGGCAGTTCGATTTTTTCAAGGTATTTATAATTTTCAAATTAGCCGTTCTTTGCTCGTATGGGCCACACTAGCCATGTATTCAACTATTTTTAATACATCACCCATAAAGTCTTTATGAGCGTCATAGGTGTTACAAAAGAAACGTAATTTTCTATACATAACTATGCCAAGTGGGCCACTTAGAGCCCGACGGGTCACAACAGTCCCGCGGGCTGCAGGTTAAGTACTAGCTACACCTGCGTTCTATTAATGCAACATGGCCGACCAAGTTCGTGGAATTAACCATACTGTGTAATAGATTCCTTAATGGCCTCTTACGCTGAATCACCTAAGACGACTCATTTGATTCGATCCTCAATTTCACGGGTCATTCTCAACATTACAGGCGACCAAGAGTAAGGTCTTGTCTTGAAGCAATCGTTCTATTTTAAGCTCGGTGAATCTTTTCCATAAATTAGATGCTAGACATGAAGATAGATCGTTTTCGATTTATTAAATTACTCGGTGAGCCTTATTTTCTGGTATTATCTAAATCTCCTGGATCCTCTGGTAGGACGTACTTAGCTGATAAGATTCACCAAAGTCAATCTATTAAACAAGTTCACTATAATGTATGATAGATTAAAAAAGTTAAAAAAAAAAAACGTTTTCTATTAGGCGCGTACGAATTGCCGTATTGTTTGCAGAATTTGATTTAGGTAGGTATTAATCTACATATTATTTCAAACGCAATCATGTTTTTTTTTTTTAATTAAAACAAGCCATTATAGCCTGTAAAAATATTACGAACTAGCTGACCCCGCGAACTCTGTTCCGCCTTAAAGGCAATAAATAAGCCATCGCAATTTTTCCTTAATTGCTCACCGTTTAGACCCTGGACTACGACAAACATTTTAAAACCAAAATCAGCTCAATCGGCCCAGCCGTTCTCGAGTTTTAATCAGACTAACGAACAACAATTATTATTCATTTTTATTTATATGTATAGATTATTGAGGTCGCATACCCAGGTTCGATAGATTCCGTAGCCGCGCAACTGGCCACTAAGAAATATTTTTCTTTTTATACGACCAATATCGATTGTCAATTGTTTTCACGTAAAACTTTTTGGCGCTAAGATTTTGCGATATGTGTGTCAGTGTGTGTAATGATTTAAATAAGTTATATTTTATGTCGATGTTAGAACATAGTCTTAATAAAAACAACAAATACAGAGCTTTAGGTAAATCTAATAAGAAAATTACACACACAGATAGGAAGCGTGCAAGGGCGCAAAATACTTTCAGAAATACAGTGAGCTTTTTATTGGCTTTCCAATGGTAATATAAAATCGTTTTTAAATAGTATCATTTATTACTCATTTCAAACTATCTTTAAACTTTGTAGGCGAACAGAAAATGGACGGCTCGTGTGTCCGCTCAGAACATGAAGATACATGAAGAGGCGCTGCTGCTGAAACTGTACACCGAGGACATGACGGCTGGCGCTCGGCGACGAGAGAAGTAAGCATTTGTTAAACCTTAAGAAAAGGCTTTAAAGCTCAAAATAGGAAGGCAGCGACTAAGTAATTTATCACTAGCATAAAAATGGCTAAAATAAAACTTAGGAGTCGTCCCACACCCCCCCATCCCACATACGTTTAAATTCACCCTTTAAAATTAATTCAATACCTTTGCGCTGATAAATTGAGTTAGTTAAAAGGCATACAAACAAATACACAACGTCAAACTTATAATACCCCTCTTTTTCCGTCGACTAAAAAAATATGGGCTGTTTTTGGTGAACAGAATAAACATTTAAAAAAAATCTCACTAAACTACACTCGCGAGCAAAAGTATGGAATCACCATACTTGTTCCGAGCGATCGTAAGAACTAAATGACTAATAGAAGATAATTAAAAATGGTACCAATTTAAAGGTAATGTTTTACACTTTAAATTGATACTATAAATACATACATAATCATTCAGATCTTAAGATGGCTCGGAACCAAACACAACGGCCTGATTCCATACTTTTGCTCGTAAGTATATTTTTTAATGTAACCTAAGTTCAATCGAACTTTTAACTTAAAGTCATAGGCTGTATTGCGATGTCCTATGCCACTTTGAATAAATTATTCTGTCTTTAGGAAAGCAGAAATCTACGCGTACAACACAGACTTGGAGTTGCAACGCATTCGTCTGGCCAACTGGAAGCTGATACACGGTGGACACGCCAAGGCTGCCCAGCTTGTTAGGAAGATGGGCGTCGAGTTTGAGAAGGTAGGATAACATCTAAGGACTAAACTAATAAAACTTTTCTAGCATACACTTATGTTTATTTAGAGATGTTAGGCATTTTACAGGTTATTGGTTACTTATTTTTGGTCTAGTGAGGTAGAGTCCCTATTTAATTAAAAGTCATGATTTCGCTGAATCATATCAATTTTCCAGATTACGAAGTTGCGGAAAATCCACATACTTGTTGCCAACGGCATTAAACAGTTTTCTCCCTCATAAATAATGAAGCCTAGGCTCAGACTNGACTCATTCGATTCGATCCTCAATTTCACGGGTCATTCTCAACATTACAGGCGACCAAGAGTAAGGTCTTGTCTTGAAGCAATCGTTCTATTCTAAGCTCGGTAAATCTTTTCCATAAATTAGATGCTAGACTTGAAGATATATCGTTTTCGATTTATTAAATTACTCGGTGAGCCTTATTTTCTGGTATTATCGAAATCTCCTGGATCCTCTGGTAGGACGTACTTAGCTGATAAGATTTACAAAAGTCAATCCATTCAACCAGTTCGCTAAAATCTATACTAATTCTATACTAATATTATAAATGCGAAAGTAACTCTGTCTGTCTGTCTCTCTTTCACGCCTAAACCACTGAACCGATTTTGTTGAAATTTGGCATAGAGATAGTTTAAGTCCCGAGAAGGGACTTAGGATAATTTTTATCCCGGTTTTTGAAACAGGGACGCGCGCGATAAAGTTTTTCTGTGACACAAAATTCCACGCGGGCGAAGCCGCGGGCGGAAAGCTAGTGTATAATAATAAATAAATAATTCTATACAGGGTGGAATTTTGCAATGCCACCTGGAGGGAAAGTACCCTTAATTACTGTAGAAAGAAAATTTTACTCGAAGAAAACATTCCTTTATTTTTGAAAAGACAGACAATTGCATTCAAAGATTTTCTAAAAATTTTTCGAAAATTTACCACCGTTAGCTATTAAAAAAAGGTATGTCCGGCTTTTTGCCAATAGGGATTCAGGTGGCATTACAAAATTCCACTCTGTATATTCATTTCCAAAGCAATCATGTTTTTTTTAATTACAACAAGGCATTATAGCCTGTAAAAATATTACGAATTATTGAGGTCGCATAGCCAGGTTCGATAAATTCCGTAGCCGCGCACCTGGCCACTAAGAAATATTTTTCTTTTTATGCGACCAATATCGATTGTCAATTGTTTTCTCGTAAAACTTTTTGGCGCTAACATTTTTACGTTACATGTGTGACACAGTAAGTATGTGTAATGATTTAATTAAGTTATATTTTATGTCGATGTTAGAACATAAAATCATAAAAAAACGAGGGTGAGAAAGGAATTACAAGAGCTTTAGATTTTAACCCAACAAAAAAATTACATCAATTTCACAGGTTAAGCGTGCAAGGCTGCAAACAGTTGCAGAACATAGTGAGCTTTAGCGGCTCTATGCAATTTATATGGTAATCTAAAATCATTTGTGAATAGTGTCATACTCATTTCAAACTATCTTTAACCTATTTGTAGGCGAACAGAAAATGGACGGCTCGTGTGTCCGCTCAGAACATGAAGATACATGAAGAGGCGCTGCTGCTGAAACTGTACACCGAGGACATGACGGCTGGCGCTCGACGACGAGAGAAGTAAGCATTTGTTAAACCTTAAGAACAGGCTTTATAGAAGGCAATAACTAAGTAATTCACTAGCATAAAAATGGTTAAAATAAAACTTCGGAGTCGTCCCACATAGGTTTAAATTCAAACTTCAAAATTAATTTAACACCTTTCCGCTGATTTTTCCGTCGACTACAAAATAGTGGGCTGTTTTTGCGTGTGCGAATGTTTATGCATTAATACACTGTCAAAAAATCTCACTGAACTATTTTCAAATGTAACATAAGTTCAACCGAACTCTTAGCATACGAAAGTCATAGGCTGTATTGCGATATAATTTGCCATTTTTTTTCTTTTATGTCTTTAGGAAAGCAGAGATCTACGCCTACAACACAGACTTGGAGTTGCAACGCATTCGTCTGGCCAACTGGAAGCTGATACACGGTGGACACGCCAAGGCTGCCCAGCTTGTTAGGAAGATGGGCGTTGAGTTTGAAAAGGTAGGATAACATCTAAGGGCTATAGCCCAAAATAATGTAACTTTTCTAGCATACACAGGTAAGTTTATGTAACGTAAGTGAATTTTGGTCCAATATGAGAGGTGATGAGTTAGCTAAGTCACCATCAATTACATTTAAAAGTTATGTTTTCGCTGTTCATAGCAATTTTCCAGATGACGAAGCTGCGGAAAATTCACATACTTGTTGCCAACCCCACAAAAACAGTTTTCTCCCTCATAAATAATTTAGCCTAGGCTCAGACCNCTCAGACTACCGACTTTTAGTTGGCCGATAGTTGAGCCCGATTCAATTTTGTATGAAGACTCGGTCGATACCAAATCGGTGTAATGTGCGCACTTCCAAACATGCCCATACTGATTAACTTCCCGACTAAACTATCGGCCAACTAAAAATCGGTGGTCTGCGCCTAGGCTAAAACGATGCCATTATTTTTAGCGACATAAAACTCTTTGATGATTTGTCATTTACTGTCAAATGTTCATTTTCATAAAACTGCATTATAAAACTATATTTTTTATAAAAAGGGGTTTAACTTTTAAAAGGCAACGCTTCCATCTTGGATTTGCGGGGTAATTGAGCGAGCGAGGAGGTGAAGCGGCGTCCTCGTGACTCTTTTCACCAAAGCCTCGCCTCGCACACGTTTCTCGCTTACCTACTCGTGTATTCAAAGAAAAGCGAGACTAAGAAAAAACCTGTAATTCTATTGGTGGTTTTTCCTCGCACTCCCATCTCGTTGCATTACTTAGCATTGATGGAATTGCTTAAGAATTTCATTAAAGCTTAAGTAAGGTTTTGTTTAATTTCCCAACGATGAAAAAAACATGCTTTCTTCAGAAGCATAACATTTTAAGAAGAACCAGGTGAGGTCAAGCCTATTTTTGACGTCTGCAGTCATTGACTGTTGACTTATTAAACGCTCTACTTGGTAGGTACCTACTAGTAACCGCTCTGCAAGATATCCCTGCGAAATTATTGTGGTAATAATCATATTCTTTCCCTATCCTACTCCATTATGCCGTTGCAAATTTAATATTTCTTGCTCTCCACCACTAATGTTCAAAGCACTTCATGTTGTGTGCAGTTTTAATATCATCTAGACAAGCGAAGCGCGCTAGCGATGAAAACAATCTTTGTTAACAAATAAAGCGCTGCAAGAATAGATTGCATTAAAACAAGCAACAGGAGACTTCAGTGCTTCAGTGCTCGTTGTTCGAAGTAAGTAAATACTGAAAACATTAAGTGCATTTAACATTATTATTCACAACAAGCAGTCAACTAGGCGCCGGAATTAACGACTCGTGAAAAACGTTTTACATATAAACGGCGCCTTTGTTTGAAGTTAGTCAAAGGAAATGTGAAGATCTTTTATTGTGTGTTATAAACGCGTGAGAGGGTTGGGACTGTTAAATAGACAGGAGAGACAGAATATGACAATAATAATCCAGTTTTTCATAAGCATTTTTCAGATAGGTATGTATTTCAAATTGCAAAACAATAATGAGTCTTCCGTCGATTGTTGCTTCGAACTGGACCCAAGGTGCCAGTTACCCTTGAAAAATAGAGTAAATAAATAATTAAAATAGCTGCTAACCACAATTTTATTTACAGTCAAAGCGCGGCGCAAAGGGCATGAGTCCTGAGCTGGCGCAGCGTCTTGCTGCTGAAGCTATGTCTACCGCAGTGTCCACGCAAGGAGATGCGCTCATGACCCTGGGTCAAGCCCGAGCTAGAATGGACATCGAGACTGTGCTGCCGACCGCACCCATTAAGTTGCTTGACGAGGTCAGTTAATATTAGATCCCTCCCATCGTTAAGGAGATTTCTCTAATGTCTAGCTGCAGTGGCGATGGCTTTGCAGGGAGACGCGCTCATGACCCTCGGTCAGGCCCGTGCCAGAATGGAATCAAGTTTCTTGACTAGGTTAGTTCATATTTATCCTAATTTCTAACGTATTGCTGCTGAAGCGATGTCCACCGCAGTATCTACGCAAGAAGACTTGCTGATGACCCTTGGTCAGGTCCATGCTAGAATTGACATCGAGACTGTGGTACCGACCGCCCGCACCCGTCAAGTTGCTTGACGAGGTTAGTTCATTTGTCCTAATTTCTAACGTATTGCTGCTGAAGCGATGTCCACCGCAGTATCTATGCAAGGAGACTTGCTGATGGATGACCCTTGGTCAGGCCCGTGCTAGAATGGACATCGAAACTATGCTACCGACCGCACCTATCAAGTTGCTTGACGAGGTCAGTTCATATTAGACCTCTCTTACTTTTGCTGATTCCCCAAGCTTTCGTTATGTCTGCTCAAGAAGAGTTATCTTTTTTTTAACGAAGTAAGTTTGTGTTCTCTAGTTTTGAAACAAATAACGAATTTATTATTATTGTAATTTATTATTTGCTGTTTAGGCGAGAGAGTGATTGATCAATTTACTGTTTAGATGTCAATTTTATTCACAGTCCTAAAACAACTTTAATCTGATCGGCCAGAAACTTTAAAATCCTTCAGCTGCTCAAATATTAGGTACATTTGCGAACCTATTACATCACTATTAATAAGGTAAGGCCTGGTCGTAAAACCAAACCACTAACATACAATCTGTAATGACCATGTAACTTCGCAATTTACCTCAGACGCTTAATAAGTATGCAAAACGCCCTAGACATCGAGACTGTGGTACCGACCGCCCGCACCCGTCAAGTTGCTTGACGAGGTTAGTTCATTTGTCCTAATTTCTAACGTATTGCTGCTGAAGCGATGTCCACCGCAGTATCTATGCAAGGAGACTTGCTGATGGATGACCCTTGGTCAGGCCCGTGCTAGAATGGACATCGAGACTGTGCTACCGACCGCACCATCAAGTTTCTTGACGAGGTCAGTTCATATTAGACCTCTCTTACTTTTGAAAATCTGAAGGATTCCAAGCTTTCGTTATGTCCGCTCAAGGAGAGTTATCTTTTTTTAACGAAGTAAGTTTGTGTTCGCCAGTTTTGAAACAAATAAGTTATTATTGTAATTAATTATTTGCTGTTTAGGTGAGAGAGTTATCAATTTACTGTTTAAATGTCAATTATTCATAGACCTAAAACAACTTTAATCTGATCGGTTACAAACTTTAAAATCCTTCAGCTGCTCAAAATAATAGGCACATTTGCGAACTTATTACATCACTATTAATAAGGTACAATCTGTAATGACCATGTAACTTAGCAATTTACCTCAGACGCTTAATAAGTATGCAAAACGCCCTTAATGACGCAGTAAACTACGCTAAAACCCTTACCTTTTTACCCAAGATAATTAAAAGCTACACCGAGGGACTGAAATATTCTAAATTGTTTAGGTTTTAGAATAATTATTCATATAAATTCCTCACGGAGTTCGAAGGAAGGCACACAATTAAGTTCTAATTATCCTGCTTTAAAGGGATCGCATATTTTCCCGAATTAATGGCCCTAATCCCTTCTGTAATACAGACGAGCCATTACTTTCTGGAATGGCTCGTAGTTCTTTTAATATTTCTTAGTTAGCTTTTTGACATGACGAAACAAAAGTAAAGAAATCTGAGTTTTTACATGGGAATGAGTAAAAAGCAGGCACTACCGTCAAGTAAAGGTGATTACCCGTTTACCACTATTACCGCTGAGTGGGGTCAACAAGGATGATGTACAGAATCCAGAACAGGGTGCTTACTTATTGGGGTTGTAGGTACCGCCGTGTCCCTAAACAATCAAAAGTCCCCAATTATATCGTATCGATTACCATACCTCTCCAACACGCCTGACCAGGGTGGGAAGTGAGCCTTACCCTCTATTTGTAAGTATCTGGTAAATTAAAGAAGTAGAGAATAGAGGTAGCAGGAAGGCGCTGGATGCAGGCCGCTACCAACCGGGCGATGTGGAAATCATTGGGGGAGGCCTATGTTCAGCAGCGGACGTCCGGCTGAAGAAATGATGATGATGATGATGATGAAAAAGAAAGTCGTGCTCCTACAGTGAGAGACCAATGACCCGATAATGATAACCTGACCCAATACACCAACTTACACAGATGCTGGAAACCGCCGTGATGGAGTTTGCTCGCCGACGCGTGAACCTACTCCTCCGAGACGTGGAGAGGGTGGTTCGCTCACGCGCCGCTCACGTGTTCTTCCAAAACTATCGACCGAGCACCGCCAAGAGACAGTAAGGAACTACCACTAATAGAAAATAAATATAAATAAAAGGTAGATTGAAAAGTTCCAGAAAGTCTCAAATAACCTACTGTGCTGTATTCTGGAAAACATTGTTTATCTGCGCGTTTTAATTAACGACTATCGAACGTAATTAATCGTTACCTAGAATTTGTAGCTACTGGGATTCGATTTTGAGACAGATCACTCTAGCTTCAGGGTAATACTTTGTAATTTACCATTTTGTAAAAGCTGAAAGACAATCTTGAAAATATTTAAAAAATATTATTCAAGTATGCGATATCTATTTAAAACTATCGATAAATCGTTTAATGTTGTTCAATAACTTTGACTTATCTGGATAACTCCTAAAACATTTACTTTCCCTTTAATTACTAACTAGCTTTTGTTGCTGGCAAAAGACTAAAAAATCGTTAAATTAAGCTTCAAATTCTTTACTCGGATGTTTTCTCAAAAGTCCGTTAAAAAGATCTTTTGACATATTCATCAATCAATTTAAGGTATTATTATCAAAAGCTCAAAGATTTTTCAGCCTTTTTACTATGAAAACATAATGGATACCTACGAGAACGGACTGGGGTGAAGGAGTTGTAATCAATCTCAATTAATAGGTCGTCACGTCACAATATTTCCAGAAAACCGAATGGAATAATAAATTGTTTGCTAATAAAATGAGTAAAACATATAACTAAATTGGTTCTGTATTGCTAATTGAAATGAAGCAGATTTTATTTTTAATTTTCATAAATTGACAGCTAGATACTTCGTCAGTGACATTGTATCATTATTTTACGAAAATATAATACAGAAAATAGGATAACTGGACTATTCCCACCTCACGTTTCCACCGCTGCAAATCCTGTTTAGCCAGGATTTACAGCTTGACCGCCAATAAAAACCCAATCAGTGAAGGTCAAGTTTTCCCCAGGGAAAAATATAGGAAATTCTTTTTCAGTTGTATCTACGAGTATTTGATATTTTATGCCAAAGTGTACAAATATTTGACTTATTAACTTTTCATCCAGCGGAACAAAAGTGCCTCGGTGGTCGATCCAGATAGCCACCGAGCTGGCTCGACAGTATGTAAACGTGCACGGATCTTCGATTCTATTCGGAGACATCGTCAACATACCCGCAGAGACCACCACAGAAATCGACATGAAGAGCGTCAAAGATAGACCTCCGACGCCTGTAGTAAGCATTGAAGGATTTTTTTTACCGTAATAATTGTGTTGTGATAGTTACCGTATTACTCATGCATTAGTCGGAAACGCCAGGTCTATCAAACTTTGGTCTTGTTATAGTAATGAGTTAATATCACAAGAGAAATAATAGATAGTGAAACTAGATCTCTACTTTATTAGAATAATACTTACAAAAGCTCATTTTTAAAAAGGTCAAGATCCTTTTCCTCACCAGTAAAACCATTAACGTAGACTACGAATTTTATTTACTGTAGTGTTTACTTTAATCATACTAACTCATTTTCTTTGAGGGTCTTGGCACTAATTGGGCGCCATTATTTAAGATTAGGATTGTGAACAATTAAGAGCGTTTACGTCTAGCGTGGCATGTCAAGTTTAGGTAATTTCGATGCTAGTTTTATTCACACTAAAATAATTATGACTGTGTGCGTGTTCTCACGCTCTATAGTCAAACCAAAATACTTTGATCCACCATCGTAAAAGTGTGCCAGGCTGTCAAGTGACAGCTCAAGGAAACTATAAAANTTCTCAGATAACTATTTGCCCAAGGATCTATGCTATAGGATATAAATGTTTGTTAAATCGTTTTCACAGTATTTTTATAAAAATTTCAGCTTGTAAACTGACGCTAAAGTGGAAATTTACAAAACCTGTGTGGACTTATCTTGATAGAATTCTTAAATGCTAAACTAATCGCAATATTTTCTTAATTAACTATTTAGACGACGAAATTGCCTAACTATTTATGCCTATAACATATTTGTAGTATTACTGGTTAATGATTGTAACGAGTTGAAAAAGTACTGTTTTTGCGCCAAACGGCGTAAACGCTCTTAAGCTCGCCTTTAAATTAAGCTTAAAAAACTAGTCTTTGTTTTAAGAGGGCGCTAAAACTTATTTTTTTATTTTAAAGCCATCCAAAACGAAGTTGGCAGAAGTGACATTCTCCGACCGAGTCGAAGACTTGCCAGATCCAGTGGCTGTTGGAACCTACCTGCCTGAAAGAAGGAAACTTCTAGAAGTAAGTTTTTTTTGCACAGCTATTCATATTTTATCTCTGAACTGAGCTGGAATCAGATCATATCACTCAAGATGACATGCTCATTATTGCTCATGTACAGACGTATGCCGCATCTAAAAATAGCCTTCGAATCTGCAATTTTCTAACGAAGCCAGCTTCGAAAATGTTTGCGGAAACATGAGAATGTTTCAATGAAAATGTCTAATGAGAAATGCCATATTTACCCCTTTACATACCTTCCTTCGGTCGAGAATACAAATCTAACCCCGAACCGTAAACGTAACTATGCGTAAAATTGTTTATACAGGTTGTACAAAAAACACTATTTAGTCCTGGAAACGTAATCAGTATAGGTACAATGTAATGTCTGGTTTAGATACTGTGATTAATTCTTGATCGCTTCACTACGTCTACATTTCTAGAATTTGAGTTGAATATATTAGGTGTAGGTGTATGAACATTTTCGAATCGAAATGATGTAAAGAATGCCACATTGTTTCTACAAGCACCTGTACCAATTTCTGCAACTCTGAAATAATTTGTCAGGATTCCCCTTCGTATAGTTTTAAGTACTGCTCCGTTTACTTGCACTCCCTGTATACAAGATTTAATGTCCTAAAATACAAGCTAGTCGCGCTACAATAGTTACACCACTGTGCGCGCAAGTTGGAGCCCACTGCATATTTGATTTGTAAAGTTCACGCATCTAGCTCATCCAACCATCGGGCAAATATGGACCAGCCCACAAGCATAATTTGCAAATACCAAACGCTTGCTCTGAAAACTCCTGTCTAGTCCACGACTTTAACTGATTTTGGCACACATTTAAAGCCTAAAAGCCGCTTACAGCTTTATGCAAAAGCTTTTATTTTTACACAACAAAAGTGTTCGTGGAAGCTTTTAGAAAACACAACGTGAACAACGAATTTTGTGTTGACCATTATTGGCATGAATATTGAATATTTTGTTTTTGTTGGTTTAGTTGATTCAGAAAATGCGAAACCGTATTTGTTTTCAGTACTAAATACTATTAACATAAAATTATTCTGACTATGAAATCATTAAGCGGCCAACACAGAAGAGTTCTAGACACGGATTTGTTATCTACCTATTTTTGATACTGCAGTCTGCGTTAATAGACTTTGCCATATTGAAAAACCAATAAATCCGACTAATATTGATAACTAACTTTATTGCCCTGGTAATTTTAAGTACAAAGTGAATTGACAACATTGCCTGTTACATGATTATGAAAGTCATCATCAACTATACCAACGTCATCATCATCTGTGTAGATGGTGAACTCGGCCGCCAAACTGCTGTCACGTTCTGTAAGTCAACGCGTGCAGAAAGGCATGGACGTCACCGTAGGCAAAGTCACGCTGCCCAACATGAAACATCCAAGTAAGACCACTAAATGAACTGCATTTCTATGTTTTAAACTAACCTAGCTTTGGATATAGCGTGATAAAAGCGATACTTTTCATTTTGAATTTTGAACTAAGAGCATTTGGCGCAAGGAATGCTTTTGCAAGTTACAAATACTCAGCTACAGGTATTTTGCATTTGTGATGTAACTCTGCTGAATTTCCTAGGTTTGAATTTGAAGTCCATAATCAATCTTAATATATTGGTAAAGAAGTGAGAGGAAGTTTAATGCTGCTTCATTATTATTATTATTGCTGCACATTATTATTGCTGCACATTATTATTATCCCAAAGCATTGGCACCGGGAACATTAAAGTCTTGGGACAAGTAAGTTGTTTTCTCAAGCCAAAGCTTACTCTATAAATATACCTATTTTATTACGTGAATTTTATTCTTCCAGTGTATCCAAAAAGCTTAGAACCTTTGTTTGCCCCACGTCTAAAAGCGCTATTCATCTCGAAGCTTAATCTTTTTCTTTGACAGTGGAATGGGGCGAAGCCGTGGAAAGCCTCGCGTCAGCGGTGGTGGATAACCGGATATACGGCGATTCGCCGGACGTGCGTCGCACGAGCGAGTTCCTGGCTCACCGCATACTGCGGTCACTGCTTATTGAGATGAAACAGGAGAAGGAGAAACGGGTAAGTCTTGGTTTGCAGCGAATTGTGATGCCTGGGGTTTGGGACGTTTGACATTGATTGATATACACTCGGCATCAAATAAATCGCACCTCCCGCGACAAGCACTTATCAAACGTATGCATCCCCACTTCCAACCAACATTGGTACCATTTGAAAGCCTAGTTCTAAACTTTTCATTTCATTGAAGGAAAGGTTTTTACCCGAAAAATGTGTCTTTACAAGGATCTAGAGTCACTTCTTCAAAAAATAGGTAGTTACGCTATAGCCATTTTTTATGACTATAAAACTGTTAAGTTGGGATTAATCGCTATCCATCTGTTAAAGAGGACACGTGAGATCTTTATTTGGTTTTATAATCATAAAAATTGGTCTAATTGATTCCAGAGGTGAGCCCAAAGTGAGGTCTATTTTCAAGTCACATTTATGGTACCTATATGTTAATCATTTATTTAGAAATGAAATGTATTTTTCTTTAAGGATAGGTATTTATTCGGCTTTCAAATAACACCAATATTGTTGGGGTACCATAATTGTGTCAGAAGAAAATCTTTAAAGTTCGCGTCGCGGAAGGTGCGGTTTATTTGATGTTGAGTGTATTAGACTCGTAGACGTTTGACGTCCCAAAAACACCCGTTTCCCGTGCCGCGCCCATATAGATGACCCACGCTGAACTGTCCCGCCAAACTCAATGACAGGGGGGCGCTACCATCGTTCAACTATATGGTTTCCAACATGGCAAAAATCTGAACCAGCGATCCGGTATTGACGGTGGCGGCCCACTGTCAATGTCATCGACAGGACAGTCCAGTATTTTGGAACTATATCTCTGGCAATGACTGAGTTAGCGCTATGCTAGACCTGTCGTAGAATATGACACTAGGGTTATGGCTGTCACCGGAAAATAACAAGACTCGTAAGTTGATCAATTTTCTAGGTAGTTGATCAACTCTCGGAAAATAATAAACGGCAGTTGAAATGTACTATTTAACGCATTGAATTTTAGCTAATTGGTCAACTTACGGTACCTAGCCGTAATTTAATAATTAACTATATTGCTACAAGTAAAATCATCCACAAATGGACCAATCGTTGCCCAGTGTACTATTTGACGGTACACTATTATCCGTCACTTAATACACTTTTCTCTGATTGGTCGACAGCATTAATTATAAGCATTTAGCAAGTGTTTATTCATAGAGTTACAAACACTCAGAATGTTGTTTTAATATTTATATTTTAGAGATAGGGATATTAAAGTTCGTCTATGCTATACAGGATTCTTCATACAAATCGTATTTTATAAAATTAATTTCGTATGAAAATTTAAAAAATTAAAATGATGATATCAAATTTCTGACTTCACCATACCATTTATATAACCATGTTAACATGGGCTAGTGTCGGCTCATATACCCATTTACCTAACACCCTGTATCCCAACTATATTATTTTAATATTATAAATGCGAAAGTAACTCTGTCTGTCTGTCTGTCTGTTACGCTTTCCCGCTTAAACCTCGCAACCGATTTTGATGAAATTTGGCATAGAGATAGTTTGAGTCCCGGGAAAGAACATAGGATAGTTTTTATCCCGGTTTTTGAAACAGGGACGCGCGCGATAAAGTTTTTCTGTGACAGACAAAATTCCACGCGGGCGAAGCCGCGGGCGGAAAGCTAGTAGTTAAATAAATGAAAAATGTTTAAAAATGTTTAAAAAATATATTGGAGCTCAGAGTTTTATTATTGTAAGTTATATTAATAATAAGTATTATAAACAGTTTAATCAGTCAGTACAATCAGTCTGAATATCTAATATTTTATTTTCTGTACTTAGCCCACTGTAGAACTTTTGTAACTCTGCATCAAAGTGTTCTCGATCGACAAAACTAGTATTGCTCACTGATTGTTCGTTTATTTCTACCACTACAGACTCCATTTCACTCATCATAAATAAAATAACGCGTTATAATGAGAATTATTACCAAACAAAACAACAATTGCTAATTTTACTACTGTAAATAAAGAAAAACAAGTACGGACTAGATAGATTTGTTTACGTTTAAACCGGTAATGGCGGCGGCCGGCTGGCGGGGAGCGGTATAAAAGCACGTGAGTCTTTTAACCAATCAACGTACACCTTGCCTTTGTCGGATGATTTAACGGCAAGACGCCGTAAATTAATCAACTTACTAAAATACATACGTTAAATAGTACGTTTCAAATGCCGTTTATTATTTTCCGAGAGTTGATCAACTACCTAGAAAATTGATCAACTTACGAGTCTTGTTATTTTCCGGTGACATGGCTACATTAGTACCATCTCAGTTAGCTCAACTTCAGTAACTTTGATTTTAATAAAAAAAATTAAGGTTCGGCCAAACCAACGCGATACCTGCGTGCGCGATGGCGATGGCGATAGCGATCAATGCGTATAAGTTTGATCGCCATCGCCATCGTGCACGCGTTGGTTTGGTCGAACCTTTACTCTTACAATAATATGTATTAGCGTGAGTTTGGGCACCAAAAACTTGTCAAGGAAACTGATAAAATTACTAATTATCTCTCATTCATGATTAGCACGATTTGTGACTAATTCTAATACGTAATTAGAATTATTATTCATTTTCGGATAATAAATTGTAGATAATTTCGATTATCCTTTGCTATAATTTTAGATATCAGCTGTGTTACATTTTCAGCAGCATAATAATTTTTCTTTCAGAAATACAGCCTACAAAGTCGTTTGTCGGACCACGAACAAAGGGACTTCTATGTCCCGGGAGAAATGAAAGGAGAAGACGCCAACCAAAGTCCCGAAACCAGCCCAAAGTAGACTATAAAAATATAGTTGGAATGTCGACGNTGCACCATCTTAGTTTAACTTTGACAAACGTCTAAAATCTGTCAAACTCCATACAAAAAACACCGGTTAACGTCATAGTTACGGTCAAAGTTAGGTGGCGCAACTCACCCTATTGGTTTTCGATCGAATCGAAGCTTATCACCGGGGTTTTAGTAATCGCAATGAAAATGGCGGGTGTTGTGATTCGATTTGATTTTGATTGAGTCTTAAATGCATGTTGGCTAAGCCTTTGTATGGGAAATTTGAATCCAGTCTTTCGATTATCGATAGGTAGGGCTTTGCGATTCGATTTTTTGCCGTTTGGCTAAGCCTTTTTTTATCGACCTCTTTTGCGATTTGTTTATTTGTTTGCGAGTGGTTTGCGATGGGTTTGCGATTTTAAAGTGCGTTTTGACTAGACCCACTGAAGCACATTTGAAGACTCGCTGACGTTTGACGTCCCAAAAACACCCGTTTCCCGTGCCGCGCCCATATCTCTGGCAATGTCTGAGTTAGCGCTACGCTAGACCTGTCGTGGAATATGACACTAGGGTTATGGCTACATTAGTACCATAACAGTTAGCTCAACATCAGTAACGTCTTTGATTTTAATAAACATTTTTAAGGTTCGGCAAAACCAACGCGATCCCTGCGTGCGAGATGGCGATGGCGATCAATGCGTATAAGTTTGATCGCCATCGCCATCGTGCACGCGTTGGTTTGGTCGAACCTTTACTCTTACAATAATATGTATTAGCGTGAGTGTGGGCACAAAACTCGTCAAGGAAACTGATAAAATTACTAATTATCTCTCATTCATGATTAGCACGATTATGTTCTGACTAATTCTAATACATCATTAGAATTATTATTCATTTTTGGATAATAAATTGTAGATAATTTCGATTATCCTTTGCTATAATTTTAGATATCAGCTGTGTTACATTTTCAGCAGCATAATAATTTTTCTTTCAGAAATACAGCCTACAAAGTCGTTTGTCGGACCACGAACAAAAGGACTTCTATGTCCCGGGAGAAATGAAAGGAGAAGACGCCAACCAAAGTCCCGAAACCAGCCCAAAGTAGACTAAAGTAAAAATATAGTTGGAATGTCGACATGTTAGGTCAATTTTATTAGTACTATCATTTAGATATTTGATGTTAATTAATTAATCAAAATTATCTGACAATGATATGATATTTCTCTTGATAATTCTTTGAACGTTTAAATTTTTAACATCATTTAATTATACGGCAAAGTCAGTTTGAGCTATTTTGGTAAAATTAGAATCTATTAAAATGGTAAAATAACAGTTTTGTAAATAGCCCCGTTTCATGAGTTTCATCAAAACAGTTTTACCTGGAAAACCGTAACTAGATGACTGTGAATTATTACTATTTCGTAGAAATTGATGTTGTTTTTGAAGTTTCTAAAGGGATGCTAGTTTATACCAATTTATTTGTGACTGTTTACTTTTGTATTTCAGTTTTGTTGACAATACATTAATATTATCAAAGAACTCAGCCTGTTTTATTAAACTTTTGTAGTGCTTCAATTTTGTTTGAGGTATTAGAATCACCTCTTCATCGCATTTACACACTTAATAATATTATTTTCATTAGTAAACAGAAAACAAAAACCTATTCAAGTACAGAAAACACACGCACTTTAGCATCTTGTTAATTGTCCACTTATAATCGCTATTTGGCAACAAAAAATGTAGATATAGCTAGGTACCTACTGTTGTTGATTTAATCACTCGAATAAAATATTATCGGTTGCTATCGATCCAGCTCGTGTATTGAGAGACTCGAACGTTGACACCAGGGAAGAAGGGATCAGCGCAGCCCTCGCCCCACGAGGTGATTCCGACGACCACTCCGTTGTGGTAGAGAGGACCACCGGAGTCGCCCTGGCACTGGTCGCGACCTCCCACATCTATCCAGCCGGCACAAAGCATGTTCTCCGTGATGAAATTCGGGATCGGCGACCGCTGCAAGTAGCGAAGCCTGCAAGTCTCTTGATTCACTGTCCAGATCTTCACATGCTGTAGCTGTTCTGAGACTGAGCCCCCATCGTTGGCCTGAAAGGATGTCCCTTTTTTAGCCTTCTTGTTATGCGTAGAAGAGATTCAAAAAGTCTTGGATGTAATGCTAGAGTAATGCCAGATAGAAACTGAATCAAGATATTAGATGTCTTCAAGAGACAGACGAGAGAGAGCTGTCGGGGTCTGGAATACTACAAAATAAAATCAATTGAACTTCTGGTAGTAAACATAATATGCGAGATAAATAGAACAATCACCATTTCAAGAACTAATGAGACATCACTACAATTTTATAACGACTTTTGGAAATTGGAGTATAATATCTGCAATATCCACAAGATAACTTACGATCGTGCGGCCCCAGCCTGCAGCCCAAACTTCTTGATCATCAGCCACGTGGTAATTCGGACCAGCGATCCAGGCTGGTCGGGAAGCTGCCGTGACTGGGATTTCTTCCGTCGTCCACAAGATTCCAATGTCGTTGTTGTGTCCCGTCGGTACATTATATTCGGGGTGGACAATGAGTCTCTCTGTGGTTATGACTGTGCCACCATTGTTCGCGTACGATGATCCGACACGAATACGGCGAGCGTGTATGCCCCATGCTCTGGAAGAGAAATTGTTGGGTTTAGACTAAGCATACTCTGTTGCGTTCTATCGATAGGTAAAGGTCTCGTTCGAAAATAGTGTTATTCCCTGCCTCATAATGCGCGAATCACAACTTATTCATGGTTATTATCTAAACCTGTTGCAAGGCAAAATATGTTTGGACGCCAGTAAACTGACACAGTCGCTCAATTAAACAAAAAGCTATTACAAAACACGGACTGACAGAGGAATATTGATATTTCGTAGTGTTCCTTAGGTACCTACCCGACGCAATGGGCTGCACTGAGTACGGCTCTGTTGTTGAGAATGACCCCACCGCAGTCCTGGTGATAGAAGACAGAACCACGCAACAATGCCACCATATCAGGATAGTCATAGATGGTCGTCAGTGAACCACCGATGATCCTGCCATTGTCTTTTGCAGCTAAAATTCAAAGATGTGATGTGACATTGATTATAACTATGTATGAAACTACGTGAAGATAATATTCTTCTTCTTCTTGTCGTATAGAAAACAAACATAATTATTATTATACAGTGTCACCCTTAAACTCTGCTTCAAGATGACAAACCGAACTTAATAAAGATGATAATACTGTACTTAACATTGTACCTATTTCCATCTAGAAGACATTAAATATGAAAATGAAATTATTTTTGTAGTGGCTAAAAATTGCTCTTTAGTTTATTCCAATAAAAATATTAAATGGTATTTTTCATCATATTTACCTGAAGCCACCGCCAAACATAACACCACAACGATAAGGAACCGCATTTTATTAATTAAATAACTAACTGTCTACTGAACGACTGGATGGTTTCTCACTGACTTTTTATAAATAATTCTTAACTTGATTAAATGTTCATAATCTTTGATATATACCGCGATAAGATCAGCTTTTAAAAAGTAATTAATTTCAGGCCAACACCAAGTGTTTAGCAATGCTGCAGGGCCAAAATAATTCTTATTTCGCACGCAGAACATCACATCTTTGATATCGCATTAATGAATTTAATTATAATCTAACTAAAGTTGTAAAATAATGATTATTGAAATTAAGGAAAAACCTTTTATGTTATCAGAAGATAATACCTACATATAAAAGAATAAGAAAGATCCGTTTCTATACAGGGTGATTTTGTAATCAGTGTCCAATTTTAATAAGCTCTATATAGCCTGACCAGGAACATAAAAACCTTCGCCATGTTGCGGAAAACTAATGGTACTAATTTCTTTTAATGGCAACAGTAACTGAAAACTTCATTGACATGTCACCTTGCATGTCAGTCTATTGCTGTCAAAGTGTAAACAAACTTTATTTTAAATGTGCGCAATTGGTTTTATGAATTAAATTGCTAAAATATTTTTATAGTCGTGAAAGAAAAGTGGTTCACAATGTGTTAAAGTATTTGTCGAAGAGAAATACTAAGGGTTCGGACAATATTTTCATTGAATAATGTTTCCGACAAAGGTTGTCAAATTGACTGACATGTTTATCGTATAGTACAGTCCACTATGAAAATTAGCTGTGGTTTGTTTCAACTACCTATTTTAAAATTTTAGAATGTTCTGCTAAAAGCATATTTTTTATGTTTCTAGCAAAAATTTTGTATCTTGCATCAAAGATAGGAAGGTGATTATTTTTTTCAAATATCTCCAACTAATAGGGAATCTGTAAAAAAAAGAAATCTGAGAAAAGTCAACCCAAAAAAAAGATAAAAAAAAAATTAAGCCACTAGGTCATGAAATTTGAAAAAATCACAAAATTAACGATAACTTCTAAACTAAGAAAAATCGTAGAACATACATGGGGGTGAAATCGATAGGTCTAGTCCTCACCTATCACCTGCCTTCGGCTTGACACCTTACAAGAAACACCCTGTATAAAAGAATAGGAAAGATCCGTTTCTATACAGGGTGATTTTGTAATCAGTGTCCAATTTTAATAAGCTCTATACATAATTTAACAATACAACTTTATCTTAATTATTTTATTTTATATAGTGTTTTTCGCGAAAAAAATAATTGAAAATCTAATTCGCCTGTGTGTACGTATTTTTCTATGAACTAAGCAAATTATCCCCGTGAGCTAATTTTAAAACCGCGCGCAGCGGATAAAAATAATTAAATAAGTATTGTTTCCTGTGTAAATCGATTAAGTTACAAATTCTAAGTTGCTCCTAAAAATGTTTGACACTGAGTGAAAAATCATCCTGTATATCGTTCTACAATTTGATAGTAAGCTAAAGTCAATTTGTGAATTGATATAATATTCAATCATCATTAATATCTTGTTATCTGTTCAAAAACCTAACACATCTACAGAACGATAATAGGCAGGAAATAAAAACAAAAAACCATAATTGTGTATAGTATGCGTTTAATCTAGCCAATATTAATAACAGGGTCATAATCAGTCTTTGACAGTTCTTATCGGTTCTGGTTTATCCAGTTGGTGTAGCGAGACACGCGAACATTGACACCGGGGAACTGTGGGTGAGCACAGCCCTCACCCCAGGAGCAGACGCCAACGACTACTCCGTTGTGGTAGAGAGGGCCACCGGAGTCACCCTGGCACTGGTCGCGACCTCCAATGTCCAGCCAGCCGGAGCACAGCATGTTGTCAGTTATGAAAGCCGGGCGGTGGACGCCGTTGATGACTCGGTTCAAATACCGCTGTCTGCAGATCGCCTGGTTCACTGTCCAGACTTGAACGTGACGAAGCTGTTCTGACATTGAGTTTGAGTCGCCAGCCTGTAATCATCAAAAAGCTTAATGATCGAGACAAAATTATACGAATTATCATTCCTTTAAGATAGAAACCAGTGTCAACTGGCGTAGCCCGTAGTATTAATGAATATCATGTCTAAGTAAATCTTAATCTGACGAGTTCACGAGTTCTTTTGTTAAATTGTTAATTCATTCATGAAAGAGTATGGTGAACACAAAAAATAGTATACTTACAATAGTCCGTCCCCATCCAGTAGCCCAGACTACTTGGTTATCAGCAACGTTGTAGTTGGAACCAGCGATTGCGGCAGGGCGGGTTCTCGTGGTGGTGGGTATGTGTCCATTGACCCATAGGATAGAGATGTCATTGTCCATCGGGGTTGGCCTATTGTAGTCAGGGTGGTTAATGATTCTAGCGACAGAATATTCAGTCCCGTCCCAGCTTCTGAATGATGATCCGACGCGTACGCGGCGGTTAGATGCTGCAGTGATTCTGGGGGAAAGAATAAGCATTTGAAAGAAATACATAGAAATCCTTACCGCTGATTTCCATTCATATCTGGTATAGTATCTAGGGTCCAAATTGATCGATATTTTTATTAGGTAAGTACACAAAAAATCTGACACTATCACAGCCATTTTGCAACTCATTGCTATTTTGCTACAAAAATTCACCAGGGGTTTGCTGTCGGCTGTAAAACTTGCAAAACAAATAGGGCTAAAAGCAAGGAAATGACAATCCCATCAAAAACAATACTTGTCAAAAAAACCAAGTCTCGCAACTCAGTTGTTCTACGGTAAAAAGTTGTGAGATCCATGTAATACCAAGTCCAGGCCAGAAAATCTTTAACGTTTTACATAAATATATTGACTTGGCCATCGCACTAAATAATTTAATTTACACGTGTTTTCATGCGATGGCCAAGTCAATTTATTTCCTGGCCTGGACTTGGTATTACATGGATCTCACAACTTNGTATTTACAGACTTACAGCTGGGTATCTCGAATTCCGAGGTGAACTTACTATAATGACTGGACTACAACGAAGTTACAGGCGGTCGAAAATGGCCTGAATTGCTTCGATAAAAAGATGGTACGGCCGTGCCGCTTTTTTCCTCGACTTGGTGGGGGCACTGCCGTGCCCCCAGATTATTGCAGTGATTTGAAATTAATTAGACCAGGTTAAGTTTTGATGGAAGCATTTACTTACACAGTGCAGTGAGCAGCACTCAAAATAGCCCTGTTGTTGAGAATGGTGCCTCCACAGTCTTGTCTAAAGTTGGTGCCGGACCAACTCAGCAGAGCAGCCATCTCAGGATACTGCTCAATGGTGGTCACGGAACCACCGATGATGCGACCAGCGGCGTCATCGGCTACAATTTGTAATTCAATTCAAATTATTAGTATTTAGTTACACGTCTCAATATAATATTATTTATTAGATTTCCCTTCCCACCACTTCGGGACCACACATTAGCTGGTGCTGAGAAGGAGTGGTGGAAGAAACCAGTCACCTTTTTCAGCCTCTTATTTATTTCAGGAAATACAATTTACATGAGTTTCATTCAATAGCTTTGCACCATTAATAAATATCCTGAACTCGAAGCCAATACAGTAAAAACAATCTGTGCTACGAAGGAATACATTTTTCAGATGATCAGTGCTCAGTGCAACTTTTAAATTAATCTCACTCGGCAGAGCCAATTATTTTAACACTGAAAACTACTCTTTTATCATAATACATATTTTATAATTATTTTAAATGTGTAAATAGGATAAAATTGTACAGAATGTGATTAAAAATGTCTTGAAATATTTACCTGCCGCCACCGCCAACGTTAAAGCCAAGACAATGAAGGTACGCATTTTGACCGACACGCAGTAGTTGTGTGATTGTTGTTGATTGATTTCTGCTTATATACTCAAAATTTCTTCATCATTCTGATGAACTGCTTATCTTTTATCTGTTCTCATAATCCTTTTTTGTCAATTTTACGCATAGGTATTTATTTGGGATTTTACAAAATAATTATAGATAACCCGCGACTAGTCGGTTCTGCTTGCAGCGACCACACCACCAAAAGATAAAACAATTATACAAACAAGGTAAAAGATGGTAGTCCGCTAGCTAAAGCTTAACCTGTGACTATGTAGTAAGGGGTTAATTCCGGGAAAAAAATAAAACAAGACCTCCTTATTATTAAGAAAAATGTTATTGTCGTAAACCTCCTCTGGTTATATAAAGTGCAATTTGATTAAAAGACAAGACACGATCTCCTGAATATTTTAAGATTTCTTAGAGGACTGGGTACAGGGTAACCCCTCTGGAATCAAAGTGCAGTAATTGTCAAAAAATAAACCAATTTCAGAACTTACAAACAGACATTATCAAAACTTTTGTATAGTCATAATTTGAATTTTCATTCATTGGAAAATACGCATAGATTAAGCCCATTTTGACGAATTGATATTATTATATATCTATAATATAAGTAGATAAGCTTAGTACTTACTAAGTACTATCGGCTACTCATTCCAGCTACTCATTTCCGGTCATGTTGTCTCGTTCTATCGCAAATTATCACCATTTGATGAGAGCGAGAGAAAAAACTGAAATGGGTAGCTGGAACTATGAGTAATAAATTATGTAGAGACGGAGTCAAATGATTGAGAATTGCTTGTGTTGTGTACGAGTGTGTTCATCACAATAGTCCAGTGGCATCGCAGCGAGGGGTTTGAATCCCTCGGATCTCGAGTCGGCCAGCCCGACACGTTTCACTGTTGGGCTATAGTCGCCTCAAACGTACTGTTTTAATTGAAATGTTTTTTTTAGGCCTCGAGGGCTTTTTTTATTGTGGCTAAGTAGACCATTTAAAAGTAGTGTCGCGTGTGGCTCCCTGCTGTTTAAAGGTGTAATAGCAATCTAAGCTCAGCTTAGAGAACATTTTGATGTAGAGCGTTTTAAAAGTTTAAAAATTGTGCCTTAATTATGAGAAAGTGTTCCTAGCCAAGTTTGATAGAGTCAACTACGCCGGGCTTATGTAATACTGGTGATTGGCTAAACTGGTTACAATACACTGGCATGAGCCCACTTCAAGTTAAGTTCTACCTAGTAGGCCAGTAGAAATAGAGTTGAAATCGGATTTACCTAATTCCTTAGAAAATCTTTTATTGTTATAATGGTTTTCGATGGAGTTTTGCTTACACAGCTCACAGGGAGCATTTAAGCGGTCTTACGATTATATATATTAAGGATGGTTATACGGTTGGAAGTTGTAGGGCATTTAATTCTGCATCGAATAAGACCAAACTCATGTTTTGGACAAACCGTTTCTCGTGATAATGCTTGACAAAGTATGACATATACGTTTACTTTATTGACCCTCTCCACGTCCAGTGGCTCATTACCCGCAGGCTCCTAAATCTTGACAAAAGCCGCCTCAACCAGCGTATCCCAGTCAAGGCTTGCGAGCTGGATGCGCCTACTCATCCCAGCCGTTCCTTAACTACGGTACCTGTGCCCCTTCCTTGCACTCTTCTGAATGACTCTATGTTCTCTACTGTGACTGCCCCTCTTCCTTCCACCCTCCTGCAAGGCTTTGCATGACCTACTGCCCGGTCCAAGGTTCCACACAAAAAAATCAACAGCAACAGTTACGTTACATTCTATAACCTAGGTAATAGATCGTTCCATCCACGAAGACGCGGACCATTTTTCCGCTAATGTTTGAGTGTTATCGGTACACACTAAATTATCCATGAGTGCACACTGCACACCCACACTACAATAATAACGCTCGGATTGTTCGGATCAAACTCCCCGCAAATTGCTCTTCCCTCGACCAAACATTAGTGGGGCGCGTCTTCGTGGGTGGATTAGACAAAAATATTGTCCTTTTCCAAAAACTGCCTATGTAAGGAGGGAACAGTAGAGCTAATACTACACTGGTCATCACAAAAATCGAGCCTCCCGCGACAAGCACTTTCAAACGTATGCATCCCCACTTCCCACTAATATTGGCACCATTTAAAAGCCTAGTTCTAAACTTCATTTCATTAAAGGAAAGGTTTTTACCCCAAAAATGTGTCTGTAGAAGAATCCAGCCACTTCTTCAAAAAATAGGTAGTTACGCTTGAGCCAACTTTTATGGCTATAAAACTGTTAAGGCCGGGTAACAGAGAAAATGGCGAAAATGAGGTTTTCATTTTTCATTTTTGAGGTACTAAACAGTAAAATAAAAGGCTAAGATTTTTTTTGGGCATAGTTGAGGATATTTTCTAGGGCTATTAACGGATGGAAACACGATTTGATGAAGTTGACATATTATAGAAAGAAAACACCCAGGCCAATACAAACAAATATGTTTCTGCAATTTTAGTATGATATTTTAATTTATTAATAAACAAAGAGACTGAACAAAATTGATGCGTACCTATACTGATTAATGTTATTAACCACATGCAAAGCTTCGTGAATTGCAACAACTATAATTAAATTTATTATCCAAGCTCTAAATAATCGCTACTAAGAGTAACTTATCATAAAAAAAAATTCCAATCGCTCAAGCTCCCAAGGGCCTACCGATAGGTCGGGTGACGTAATCTTGAAATTCTTTAAGCCGGCGCAGAACTTCCAGAAGGTCGGGCGACGCCACGGCCACTTTGAACAGTGTTTACTTCTGCAGTTATATTTTATATTTATTCGATTCTAGAGTATATTCCCAAAAAGTCTGAAAGGTGTTTTAATTTGTATCACTTGGATATGATTTCTATTAGAAAGTGTTGTGAGTGTGACGCTTGAAGGGAAGGAAGTCAACCTAACCTAACCAACTGCGTATTTCTATACTGTGTAGCTGGAAATTGTGGCGGGAGCTCTTTGACGCGTTGTTTTCGGCGAAGAATTGCGCGCGCAGATTTTGACAGCGCGAAATACCTACTTTAGAAGAAATACCAAGCCTTAAGTTGGGATTAATCGCTATCAATCTGTTAAAGAGGACACGTGAGATCATTATTTGGTTTTCCATAAAAATTGGTCTAATTGATCCCAGAGGTGAGCCCAAAGTGAGGTCTTTTTTCAAGTCACATTTATTGTAGGTACCTATATGTTAATCGTTTATTAAGTAATTAAATGTCTTGTTCTTAAAGGATATTTATTGGGCTTTCAAATAACACCAATATTGTTGGGGCACCATGATTGTGTCAGTAGAAACGAGTTTTCATGTAAAACGTAGGTGGGCCAATTTTTGTGATGACCAGTATATTTTTTTTCCACAAAATTGTAGGTAAGGCCGTTGCCAACCGGCTAATCTGGAAATCATTGGGTGAGGTGAGGCTTTAGTCGTGGTGACTAAAGCACGGTAATACTATCTATACTTTAGTTTAGCAGCGGATGTCCTGACGTGACTGAAATTAATGATAATGATAATCATATAATGGCATTAGTGTATTGGTGTAGTTTTGTGATAGGATAGGTTAAGTTTAATATAAACAATAAACAAACACGGTTAGGTACAGTTCATAATAAAAAAATAGACACTGATTGAATGTATGGATGAATTTAATTACCTATTCCTAATATTTTTGAGAAATGTATTATTTTTTCTTCGAATGTCACTATATCTATTTCTTATCGGTTCTCGCTTATCCAGTCGGTGAACTGAGACACGCGCACATTGACGCCAGGGAATTCGCCTAGCGCGCATTCGTGCCCGAACGAGCAGATGCCGACTTGTACGCCATGGTGGAAGACTGGCCCGCCAGAGTCCCCGTAGCACTGGTCGCGACCTCCCACGTCCAGTATACCGGAGCACAGCATGTTGTCAGTGATCGTGTATGGCATAGGCACGCCGTTGATCACGAGGTTTGTAATTTGCTGTCTGCTGATTTATTTACGCTTAATCTAATTGAAATGAAAAGTAGACGTTTTTTGATTACTTCGTTTAATCAATTATCAATGTCTTATAAAGGTACTCTTATATTTAGGTATTTCTTATCGGTTCTCGCTTATCCAGTTAGTGAACTGAGACACGCGCACATTGACGCCAGGGAATTCGCCTAGCGCGCATTCGTGCCCGAACGAGCAGATGCCGACTTGCACGCCATGGTGGAAGACTGGCCCGCCAGAGTCCCCATAGCACTGGTCGCGACCTCCCACGTCCAGTATACCGGAGCACAGCATGTTGTCAGTGATCGTGTATGGCATAGGCACGCCGTTGATCACGAGGTTTGCGAACCGCTGTCTGCAAATCTCCTGGTTCACAGTGTACACTTGCACGTGACGCAGCTGCTCTGATTGAGACGTGAAGTTGCCGTACTGGAAAATACATTGTTTTATTAGTTTTTATTAGCAAAAAAGGTGTGTAGTGTAGCGATATCAGCTCCATAATCTAGCTACTTAAGTGTATTATAACTAATTATTCAGCTCTATATTTGTCGTAATCCTTATCTTGAGAAAACTGGAAACAATAACAAATTCGTTAATTCATCACGCTGCGACTTCATCCAAGCAGATTTTGTGGACGAAGATTTACATTGTGTTCATACAATGTTGTACCATGTTATGGTTTTTGAGTGATGGCGCAATGAGCGTCCATGCTTTCGAACTTCCGCAGTGTCGTGACGTCAGTGATGATGTCACACGCGCGATTGTTTATAGCCCTATCAGCCTATCAGCACAATGGAGTGATTTAGAAGAACATACCTGAGTCCATCCCCAGCCAGTAGCCCAGACCGCTTGGTTATCAGCTAGGTTGTAGTTGGGACCAGCAATCAAGGCAGGTCTTGAAGTAGATGTGACGGGAATGATGCCGGTAAGCCAAAGGATCGACACGTCATTGTCTGGTTGGGCTGGCCAGTTGAAAGCGTAGCCGGGATGGATAATAATCCTTTCAATAGTGTAGACAGTTCCATTCGAGCTTCTGTATGAAGATCCCACACGCACACGACGACCTGCTGGAATAGTGACTCTGGAAAAAAATAAAAATGTATATCTGCATCCGTAGTTAGGAGGTTGTAAGTTACCAATTGAAAAAGAATAGCTCAGAATTCACTGCTATACATATAATGCCCCAGAACAAACTTGACCTTCACTGATTAGGTTTTTATTGGCGGTCTAGCTGTAGATCCTGACTACACAGGATTTGCAACGGTAGGAACGAGAGGTGGGAAAAATCCCGTGCTAAATGCTCTGATGCATTTTAGGTATAGGCAGGGAAATAAAATGTATCTGCAAACTTAGAATATTGTGAGCTAAGATGTTTTTATAGTAAGTATACGTGAGCCGTCCTTTTGAGAAGACATGTTTTACACCAAAATCCTAAATTGATCCATTCCATAATTTGCTAATTTGTCTCACAGCGTTAGCGTCGATAGGCACATACATAAAGAACCCCCAACGGACTAGCCAAATCTTGGTGAATATTGATTTAATCGATATTAGGTACCTTACTTAAAAAGTAAGTAGGTAAACATTATCAGCAGAGTTACTTACTCAGTGCAGTGAGCAGCAGTCAAGATGGCCCTGTTGTTCAGAATGGACCCACCGCAGTCCTGTCCATAATGGTTGCCCCAGACCCTCAGCAGAGCCACCATCTCAGGGTACTCCTCGATGGTTGTGAGGGACCCTCCCACGATCCTTTCGGAGGTCTCGGTGGCTTCAACATAGATTTAAAGTTCAATTTTAGACTGTAAAGTCATGTCTTCAAAGTTAAGATTCGTGTGATAAGATGTAGCAATATTTATTTGTGGATTATTTTTAGCCTAATCTCGTGTACGAAATTGTCGCACAGTTTCCCACGTTTTCTATAAATATCAGAACAGCGGGGTTACTCCGGAAAGAGTTATCCAAAGTCGTGAATGTAGCCATCCCTCTCACGCAAAGCGAGATGACAGCATGAACGAAGATGACAGATAGATAGATCCGAAACAGTTAACAGAGTGTCGGAGTAGCCCTCCAGGAAGACACGTGAACACTAATGTGCCACCTAATGCCTCAATTTTAAGAAATTGTCAGGTAATTCCCACATCCTAACACACAAAGCGAAGCCATAAGGCCTTGTCCAGGAGGGCGAATTCGCCGCGAATCCTACGCTCGAACACGAGCGTATTGTAGGTATGACACGATTTTCACGCGAATTTTCAACTCGCGCGTGTCTTGTGGACGCAATGTATTATTGGCTCCTAGTATCTGTGTATCTGGCCAACGCGCGTATGATTCTAAGCGCGTAGAATTCGCCCTAATGGGCAAGGCCTTAATAAGTAAGTACACTGCACAAATCTTTACCTGCTGCTACCGCCAATGTTATGGCAAAAACAATAAAGGATCGCATTTTGACCGAGAAATAGATTATAATTTTGATAACTTTCCGCTTTTATACATAAACTTTGCTAAACTATCATTTCCTATTATCTTTTATCTACACACTAATTAAAACATAATAAATTATCAACTATCTTTATTTGTGGGTATTATTTATCAACTCATACATCAGGACGGATTTCCCTCTGACCCGAGTTCCTAATCTTTATCAACACGTTTTGTTGATTACACAATAACACATAGCACAGTAATAGTCCTTTAATCAGTGCCAATAGATTTTGGCAATCTTTAGGCCGATTATTAGGTATTTCCAAGCTTTTTAGAAGAAGAAAAAGCCTGGATGCGGGCAGCGCAGGACCGTTCATTATGGAAAACCTTGGGGGAGGCCTTTGTCCAGCAGTGGACGTCATTTGGCTGAAACGAACGAACGATACCAAGCTTTGTAACATGACCCTACATAGTAATTTACGTTAGTGTTTTTATTCTATTGCAGATGGAATTAGTGTTGGAACCTTTGAAACAGTTCAACCTCAGTTTCATTTCAGTCTTCAGTTTTGTTTCAGATACATGACATGAAATTACCAGAACCTATCGGCATACTAGCTCTATAAACTTTTTCAATCGAACTATACTACTTATCTAAAAAATTAAACAGGCTTGTTTTATAAAATGTTGGGGATCAATATTTGTAAAACTTATCATCAAAATAATTAACCAAACTTTTTAAATTTCGTTTGTCTCTGGCGTAACAAATAAATGGGTTTCAAAATTAGGAATGTCAGTGTCAAACAGTCCAGTGAAAATGTAAGCAACACTTAAAACTTCAACACTAATTCAAAACCAGTCCAGACCAAAAACATCGTAATGCAGCTTCTTCACGAGCCCAACTCCATCCCAGTCGCAGTAAGAGACATGATGAACCTAAGTGGGAACCCCAAGGATGGCTCCTGCGAGACCTTTGAGGTAAGCTTCATTGGAACCCTTCGTACACAAGAATACGGGACTATTCCCACCTCTCGTTCCCACCGCTGCAACTCCTGTGTTGCCAGGATCTATAGATTGGCCGCTAATAAAAACCCAACCAGTAAGGCCCAATTTGTCCCAGGCCAGGGGAAGACCAAAATCGTCTGATCCCTTTCAAGGATTTGCGTAGTCTTTTGTACGAAGCGTCTGAGCTCTTGGAGTCTAGGATATCATCACTATGCCATATTGATAGGCCCCTAAGATAAATAAGCTATTAATGAAAAATATAATTGGGGTAAAGGAATCTTAATCCTTCTTGGCTCTGTCTTTAGTGCACGCTTCAAGTGTTCTGCCTATGCGTGATGAATTTTGTTCAAGACGGTGATAGGATAGACCTAGATAGGAAAAAGGCATGGCTCTATTAATTAAATTTTGATTCAACAAAGATTCAATAGAGCTAATAGTTTCACTGGACTGTATCCAAGGTAAAGGAGAAGAGGTCTTCAAGCGCCTCCTTGCGTGTCATGAACCCGGTGGCGAGTGGCGACAACATGGCCGTGTTGGGGTCCGCGCACAAACTCAAGGAGGAGCTGCCGCCGCTCGTGCCTTGCTGCGAGGGGAAAGAGTTGCAGGTGTGTCCACTCAGAAAATACACCGATAGAGAAAAAAAATCGGGTTAGTAGTTTCGCACGAATTTGCGTAGCGTAACGTCCCCTTTCAATAAAAATATTATTTTAGTTGGTGTTTCACCCGGATGTATTAAAAGTATTAAAATCGCGATCGAATCGACTCCTTCGAGAACTACACTTGCGAGCAAAAGTATGGAATCACTTACATGAAGTTGTTTCCACGCGATCTTGTGTACTAACCAATTTGTTAGTAACAAAAAAAGTAGCACCATTGTAAAGATTAAACTTTTAACTTTAAATTGATACCAAATTCATTTAAATCACACCAGTATTTAAAAAGATATCCCGGCCGATGTGAAGAAGTAAAGAAAAAGACATGTATCAACTGTTTGATACGTCGTGAGTTGCGGCCTATTTACCCCCCATAAAAGCAAGTGTTTTCGGATTTTTGCTTTCACACGTTGATCCATACACATCTCCGCTTCTTTTGACACTTTACCTGGGATTCTACACCTTCAGAAGCAGCACAAATCGTTGCACTATTGCAAGAAGGGCTCAGCCAGCGGGCTGTCGCACGTCAGCTCCACATAAGCCAGTCCTGGGTTTCGAAAGTTTTAAGAAGAGGTTGACATGAAAAAACGGTCATCCCTCTGCGATGTGCACCGGCGCTGTTCAGAACTTGGTCTCGGGATAAAGCCACCAGTCTCCCAAAAGCGTCTTAAAACTTTCGAAACCCAGGACTGGCTTATGTGGAGCTGACGTGCGACAACCCGCTGGCTGAGCCCTTCTTGCAACAGTGCAACGATTTGTGCTGCTTCTGTAGGTGTAGAATCCCAGGTAAAGTGTCAAAAGAAGCCGAGATGTGTATGGATCAACGTGTGAACGCAAAAATCCGAAAACACGTGCTTTTATAGGGGGTAAACAGGCCGCAACTCGCGACGTACCAAACAGTTGGTACATGTCTATTTTCTTACTTCTTCACATCAGCCGGGATATCTTTTTAAATACCGGTGTGATTTAAATGAATTTGGTATCAATTTAAAGTTAAAAGTTTTATCTTTAAAATGGTGCTACTTTTTTTGTTACTAACAAATTGGTTAGTACACAAGATCGCGTGGAAACCACTTCATGCAAGTGATTCCATACTTTTGCTCGCGAGTGTAGTAATCTCATATTACTAGTTCTCGGAAGAGTCGATTCGCACGCGATTTTAAACATCCGGGCGAAACAACTACTAAAAAAATATTTTTATTGAAAGAGGACATTTCGCACATTCGTGCGAACGAATTTCGTGCGAAACTACTACTAACCCGAAAATTCCAACTTCGGAAACACGAAACCAGATTGGTAATCAATATTTTTTTAAAACATCTGATTGATTCGATGCATCGTTGAAGGTAGGATAACGAAGGAAAAGAGTTACAGATATGGACGACACCACGTTAAGCTAAACAGTGGCATCTTAATTATGTCCTTGCAGTACAGGCTATTTTGGAACAAAAATATGCGATGATGTCTGATTATTAGAAACTAGCTGACCCGGCGAACTTTGTTCCGCCTTAATGGCAATCAATAACGGGATAAAAAGTATCCTATGTCCTTCTCCTGGCTCTAAACTACCTCCCTGACAATTTTCAGCTAAATCGGTTCAGCCGTTCTTGAGTTATAAGTGGAGTAACTAACACGACTTTCTTTTATATAATAGATTAATGTATGGTGTAAAATAGCACTTATATCACAACTTTATATACCTACTACTTACGCAGTGTAAAGCTGAATGTCCTTTTTTATTTTAGTGTTCCGATACAATAAAATTACATGTATACTTTTGTTTAGATTGTCTGGCTTTCTGTAATAGGGTCCATATACATAAATATCTCAAAAAATACCCTACTCCATGTAAGTTATCAGACTCATCGATCAGCCAGTTTGTTGGGAATTAAGTAAATTCGTCTTTTGGGAATTTTATTTTGATCCTATAGAAAATGTTGATATAGGTTTTAGTAACGAGAAAGTAGGTAGGGTAGACCGGGGACAATAGTACCATTTTTTGGAAATTGTTCAATATTGAGAAATCTAATGAAATATAACTTATTCTGTTAGGATGCTGTAAAAACTAGACTCTTAAGCTACAAATTTAAGCATGCAGAGTTGAACTATTCTTTCGAATACTTAATGAAAAACCAATTTGAACTGAACGATGTCTCATGTTACAATTGACCCCTACAGCGGGTCAATTGTACCAATAATATATGAGGCAATAAAAGTAGTTATGTTTATCTAATCATCACCTTTATTGGTATTCTGTACTCTTAATCTCCTACAATCATCAGTATTTATTAATTGAGATCGAAAATATTTAGGAACAAGTATGAAAAATCAACACTNTAAATATTAGACTAGAAACTTACTTAATTTAACTTTTTGTGTGATTGTGATTTTGTTAACTGTTCGTTTCAAAACCATCATTAATTATTACGAAAGTAAACAATGTTTTGTTTATTTACTAAAATACCTTGAACAAGTTAATAGTTTCTACGGTTGTAATTTTTTCGATGCTCTAAACATCTGCATGTAAAACATAATCATCTTCGGGAGAGATACGAAGTATAATTAAGAATCAAACGAACTTACCTGTGATGTTTGATATCTAATTATACGAGTGTCTTGACCGAAGATGATTACAGTCCCACCTCACCCGAGAATAATTACCCTTAACCGATCGAAAAAATTTGCTCTAAAATAATGACAAGAAATATGGCGGACCGCGGAATGTACTACGGTGCTGAGGAGTCAAAACACGTACTTTATTATATTTAAAACTTATATTTTTAAATAAATATTCTCTAAAAGTGTGATAAGGACGGCATCATCCCAGGTACTGCTGCATGTAAAACATAATCATCTTCGGTCAAGACACTCGTATAATTAGATATCAAACATCACAGGTAAGTTCGTTTGATTCTTAATTATTTTAAAATACCCTTCAGTTGATTTCAGATTTTCCTTTCTACTTTACGGTCTTAGGACCGTCAAAAATACGTAATAATTATTAGGGTTTTAATTAATTTATAATATTGTTCCCTATTTTTACAAATTAATAAATTAAGTATGAAATGAAATCACCTTATTCACAATTAATTATTTATTTATAAGTTCCTACTTACAAAGTTTACGTACTGCAAAGCAAGTGTTCAAAGTATCCTCCGTTCTGATGAAGGCACAGTCACAACAGTCTAGCACGGCGAAGCGTAGGTTTTTCGCTTTAGTTTTCGCAACACATAAACGTTTTGTCTCACAGTTTCACTAAAACAATCCTTTCATGTAACGCGTTTACACTGTTTATCTCTTCTGCGCATACCAGTCGTTTCAAGTCACTCCAAAAATCGTGGACCGTGGTGGCCAAGCTACTGGACCCCTCGTCCAATCCACTGTTCACCAAACGTATTATTCGCGCACTTGACGTCCTTATTGTGGGGGAGTAGGTACCATCCTGCTGGTAGTAGAGCATTTGGTGCAACGCCAAGGGTACGTCATCAAGCATTTCGTCTAAGACGTCTTGCAGACACTCCAAGCACCATTTTGATTAAATTATTCGTTGTTTGAATACATTTCAGTCATTTTTGTATTATTTATAACGTGATTTGTGATTGATGGATTTCTCAGTTTTTTACAAGTGTCAAAAAGACATTTTAAAGACAATAGATTGCATAAAGATATTTAAAAATACAATAAAAAGTAAAAAAGTCTCCATCGCCATCGCCAACATTAGTGATGTGCATGCGTTACGATAATTAGTGATGTGTTTAACAGATTGTCGATAAAATAAAATACTCAAGACTAAAAAAAAATTTTTTCGGGCATTATTTTTTTACGGATTTGTGTTCAGTATCAGTAATATAGTTACCTCTGTAAATATGGCAAGAATGCAAAGTAACACCCTGTATAAGTTAACTCATCGATCAGCAATTTGTTTTGGAGTAAATTGGTCTTTTGGGATTTCTATGTTTAGTATAGTAACGAGAAAGTAGGTATCCTAGCTAACAATTGATAGCAAGTTTGCTAAAATGTCGGCTTACTAACGAGAGACTAGGTACTAAATACTTAATATCTGTTATGATAATATGGATTTGTTGTAAGAGATAAGTGTTTAATCTATTAAGTAGTTGACGATAACACTTTATTAATAATGATGCTTAAATATTTTTTGTTGATGTGTATTTTATTCATGTTTTATTACAGTTCCTATGTTTTCAGTAGGTATACTTTTATCTTTACCTATAAGTTTTCGACTCTCCCAAAATTAGTATTTCTGATCGGCACAAAAACCGATCCATTCATGTTATGCAGACGAAAACTAACTGAATAGAAGCAAATATTTATATTCCAAGAAATACTGATACACGTACAGTGTGGCGTTTGTTTCGAAGTTACCCAATAATCTTTAGTAAAGAAACCAATACTGTAACTAAACTTCTCTCATCAACCATTCAGCTGTGGTCTGTCCTTGTCGGGTTGATCGATGACCATGCGGGTAGGGTTACCATTTAGGTATTTGAAGTCCTGACATTTCGATAAAAGTTGGGACTTTTTAGCTCACTTATGCCCGTTTTCACCATCAATTTCCAATTTTTAAGTGACTTCTATGAAAACAAAATGCCTGTGTTACCATAGGGGTCACTTAAAAATTGGGGATTGATGGTGTAAACGGGCATTAGTCTCTGTGGTATGGTAGGCATGATGATAGCCATGGTAATTAAGTAGACGCTCGAATTTCGGGGGTGTGAAAGGAAGTGGGGTGCGGAGTTCGCCTTGTCACTAAGGCCGTTAGATATTTTTTGTCACCGTGTTATTGAGTCTACACAAATTGATTTTTGAATGACGCAAAATGTGTTGGAACTTAACGGTTTATTACGCTACGGAAATTGCGCTCGTTTGGCGATAGCCTTACTGTCACGGTGATAAAATTTACCCGTGCGTGCGCCTTAAAAGTCCGGACATATCCGGACTAATCCGGACGGATGGTAACCCTAGATGCGGGTCAATCTTTTGGGGCTTTTATTGAAACGGACGAGGGCCCTCCGTCTACGTTGACACAATATATTAACAGAGTTGAATGGAATAAAATGTGCTGCGATGCATAATGTAAGCGTCATGAGTGCCCCGAAGTTGAATCGCTGTCCGCTATATTGGGAAGGTTCGGATGATGAAATGAGATCGTAACTCTACCGAAAGTAATATTAATAAAATTGAAAGGGTCGTTTTGCGTATGATACACAAACTTGATTGGAACTCAGGTAGTTTTCCTGTAGTTCGACCAATCAAAAGAAGGTCCGCATTACAAAACAACTATAATAATTATGCTTGAAGTTGAATCGAGTTTTGAGCTTCATACTGTAATACCTTATGCTGTGCTTGTTAATAAATCATAGAAATCAACCAGATCAACACGAACAGAACCATATCGCGTCTTCAGAAACCTAATTAGTAAGTAAGTAGGCACGTTTTGATATTGGGCGTTAAGTTACTGAACCTCCCTACATTATATTAATCTGCTAAAACGGGTACTTTGGCGTTATTACCATGATTAAAAGTCATTATTCATATATGTTTGCGTATTCATAACGCAAGCACGTCTACCCCGAGATCCAAATTAATGGAGTAAAACAAATCCCACGCCCTCATCGCTCCACAACGTCTTTTCATAGACGGATCTTCTAATTTCCATTCTCTTTATTCGCGCATCTTTATTCATGAGTAGAGTCGACTTCTGGCGTGGTACTTACGCTTCAGTAGGTAGGTATAGTAAAGCCAGATCTTCCAAATTATAATAAGTACTTAGTTACTTAAATGTGTGCTCTACCAAAACCCTAATCGATAGTCGAAAATATCGCAATTTTATTTTCTTCTATTTTTTTTGTTAAGTTGTTATAAGAATTTACCTAAATACTTTGTAAGTACTTACCAGAATGAACTTTAAACAATAATTAATCCGAAAATGTATAACGAGCTCCTTAGCTCATTATACCCATCGCGTATCGGCAATATTAATAATCCATCAATTAGGGAAATTGATTATAATTCCTTGAATTTGATTACAGCCTAATATCTTCCTCAGTATAGCCACGCACGAGAAAAAGTTACTTATTTTTTCAAGGAAATTTAAATCTTATTCCATGGTAATTACTTCCATAATAAACGTGGAACAGCTAGAACTACCTGCAGTACTTAGGTAGTAGTAGAGCTACTTTGCGCTGGCCTCAAGCTCATAACGTTTTTCCACAACCAGAAGTAGTGACCGTCAATGGTTGTCCTAGCCCAAAATCCGCTCCAGGGGCCCGATTGCGCTAATTTGTAATGTTTCCAATTCATTCGCGTTTCATCTCTAGTCCACACCCTAGTCACACACCATTTTTATTTTAGCTGAAGTGTAATTCGATATCGCGGTAAAGTTCATGAATAGGTCACATGAAATATTAATATCAATCAGGTATGTACATAATATAATTAATCTAACAAGCACACAAAGACGAAACAACGGATTTAAGCACTACTTTCCATTTAAAGTCCGATCCACCTTATTTTTTTACTAAAACACAGCAAAAGTTAGTGAAGCGTTTGAATTGCGTTTGAAAAAAGTAGCTTTCTGTGAGCTTTTACACTAAGACGCTGTTACGTTCCGTTTACGTTACAACTTCGTTTGAACTAGCTGTCAAAGCGACACCGCTATTTGTGTAAACAGTCGATTTTCGTTCGTAGTCCAGTTGCGTTGCAGTTGAAAATATTTAGCGCAATCGGGGCGCTGGTGTCTATGACTGAGCAACACCTCAGTTCAACACAGCCTCTCTAGAAGTACCTACTTAGAAGTTTGCATGTTCCAGATAAACGAGGACCTCGTCCGAAGCGGCCTGTCCGCCATATCGGTGAAGCACGACAGCGTCATACAGTGCCTGAGTATGTCGCGCGCTTGCGAGAGGATGCAGGTGCCTCCAGGGCTGGTGAAGGTTGCTTTTGAGTCTTAAAAAAATGTTACGCCCGTATTCATAAATATCTATGAGGTTCGATTTGATTCTTCACATAAGCAAGCATCGTTTGTGAATACGGGCGTTACTCATTAAAGGTCGAACGCAAAACTTAGTCAATGCCTGAGGTATGGGGGCGGGCACGGGAGGATTGACACATAATAAAAATGACATGATACTGACAGAACATACAAGTTTGAAGCACATGTGAAACCTCGCTGATCACAAACCATCCCGTGCCGTTCCCATATATCAGGCGCTGGCTCAGTAAAGCACTTAAGTAGGGCTATATTTCACCGGGACAACATGGCGGCGCAACCAGTCGCCGCTACCAACAAAATGTATACAGCTTTGCGCAACTAAACGGACACCAGGTGAGTAACTCTCTATAGAGCTGTATACATTTTGTTGGTAGCCGGCGACTGGTTGCGCCGCCATGGTGTCCCGGTGAAATATAGCCCTTAGACCTATAATTTGCGGCAGAACTGGCGGCCGCAATGTTCTGGAGTGAAAACATAACACAATTGCTTAATTACAGACCTCTTACCTATAAAAATTACAAAAATGGAACTTTAATATTCCATTTCTCAACCTGCAGCATCGAAACTCGTTCCGAAGCCTTAATATTCCATTTCTCAACCTGCAGCATCGAAACTCGTTCCGAAGCCTGCACCGTCCGGACCTGAAGCGGGTGCCGTACTTGCGCCGTATGTCGCCCGATGAGTTGGAGACCCTCTTCAGAGGCTACGCAGACCTGCCCACGCGTGGGAACAACAAGACTGGTAACTTGATAGTCTGCAAGCAGCCGCTGCATAAGTTATAGTATAGTCAATTGACCTACTTCTTAATGAGATGATCCTCGACAGATTTTGTATGCCAAAAGATACTTTAACACATTGGCTGCGAGCGTCGCGCCGTACGTTATCCCTCAGTGCTAAAATCTCACACAAAGCGTGAGCGCCCGCACCGGCGTTCCGCGCGCTATCTGGATCCAACGCCTGTGCGGCCGAACACACATTACGCGTAAAAGTTCGACGCTACGGCTGTGCGGGCGCACACGTAAAGCGCGTAATAATCTGCCCATACGCCAGTGCGGCCCAACACATATGCTGTGTTTTTCTATAAATTATGATTTTCGAATGTTTCTTTGGTCAAATCGCGATCCTGACCACACATACGTTTTAAAAAGCAGTATTACGATGAAAAATACTTGTTGATAATAAGCAAGTAAAAAGTAACTTGTATTTTCAACCGACTTCAAAAAAAGGAGGAGGTTCTCAATTCGATCCGTATGTTTTTTTTTAACGTTTTACTTAACCTATTATGAAAGCGCGAGATAATAACAAATCTCGTTTTCCAGAAAACTACTTACATATTTTATGTAATATTTAACTAAGTATATAAATGACTAGCTTTCCGCCAGCGGCTTCGCCCACGTGGACTCCGAAAAACCCAAATGTTTTACGGAACCCTATTTTTTCCAAAATAAAATATAGCCTATGTTACTCGTGGATAATGTTGCTTTCGAATGGTGAAAGAATTTTTAAAAACGGTCCAGTAGTTTTTGAGCCTATTCATTACAACCAAACAAACAAACAAAGTTTTCTTCTTTATAATATTAGTGTAGATTTATCGACATAACTCACATAATAATGGCAGAATGTTAAAGTGCATAACAATACATCCGACTTCGTTGTTATGAGCAATTTTTGTCCCCACCCCCCAATAAGAGAGCGGAGACTCAAAAATAAGCGTATGTTATGAGGCGTGCGTGTTCGTTAATTCATTTGAACTTCATTAATCATTGATGTGTAATAAATAAATCGTAATAATCAGAATTTAGTCCTGGTACTTAAAGGAACGGGAAAAAACAAATGAAAGCGCGATTTAACTTCCTACAACGCCATCTATCTTACTGTAGAAATACAGGAATTTTTGAGGTAATAATGTTTCTACTTTATTACGACAGATGGCATGAAAATAAAGCATCTATCGTTAAAAAAAATATAATTAATACAATCTTTTTAACGATGAGTTAATTATATTCCTAGCTGACGACAAGACAGTCCAGATACTTTTAAGAAACGGAAAAAAAAAATGAAACCGCATTTTAATTTCCTACAACGCCATCTATTAAAAAGTAGAAATTAATTATTTAAGTTTATTCCTACTTTTTACGATAGATGGCGCTGTAGGAAGTTAAATCGCGGTTTCATTTGATTTTTTCCTTTCCTATAAGTATTTTGACTGTCTTTGCATCATTACGATTAAAATGAAATTACATTTACAATGAAATGAAATTATTTATTTAATATTTGTAAATATGTAATATAACAATAATTATTTATTCTCTCTGGCTACAAACAGCTAAATTTTTGGAAAGCCTTCTCTCCCCTCTACTGGGGAGTAGAAGGCTAAGAAAGATACTGATTGAATAGCTTAAGTTTACCAGTATCTACTGCCCGCGGCCGCTGTTAATAGGACCTTCTTAGCACTTGCACAATGAAAGCATTGCCATGGTGTTGGCTTGCACTGCACACACGATTTATGCGCGCGAGTACAAACTAGCACTGCCGATAGATTATGCCAGTTTTCACCATCAATTCCTAATTTTTAAGTGACCCCTATGGTATCAAAACTCCTGTTATGTGTTACCNAAATGCCCTTTAGTAAAATGCACAACTTATGTCGGAACAAAGGGGCCGCCGCGCTCTTTTGACCTTTTTTAAACAATGCACCTATTGATTTCTCAGTAATTCTAGTTCTAGCCTCAAAATTGAAAATAAAAGGATCCTAAAATAATGTTATCTTTATTTCAAACTAAAAGAATATTATGCACAAAAGCTAACCTACCGAAATTATAAGCCGCGCCGATTTTTATTATTTATGATTTTCCCTTGATCCATACAAATACAAACACTTGTCTTTAATTATACCTTATTTATGACACATTTATTATTTTTCATTAAACTTAATCAAAATAAAGATTCCACAGAGATAAATTCTACTTATTATATCAAAACACAGACGTTGTGTTGTCCGCATAGGCGTTACGTCGGCAAAACACGCTTTGCGTGTGAAGCCGCATAGGCGTTACAACGGCAAAACGCGCTTTACGTGTGAGCCCGCACTGCCGTATGGAGAATTAAGAAAACACGTAAAACGTGTGCGGCCGCACAGGCGTTGCGATCGAAAAAACACACCCGTATGTGTTTTCAGCAGTGATCGTGTTAACGACATCAAATCGCTAACCTAATTTACTGACAATGAGGGTTTTCGCGAATAAAAAATCCGCCAGATGGCAATACGTAGACGCGAGGTCCAAATATGTCAAAATCCACCAATCACGCAGCAGTCAGACCCCACATCCACGTCCCGCCATCTAGCGGATCTTTCATTCGCGAAAACCATCATTGATGTCACCCTAATTGTTTTGATGTCTACTACCCAATTCTTCATTGAATCCGCATTCGGTATCACTTACAAACTACTTATTTATATGATCTTCTTAGAATACCGAGTGGTGCTTCCACCAGATGAAAATATTCGAGCTCGAGATTTAAAAGACAAAGAAGCAAACTCACAAGATGATGGTGAGTGAAATAAATCTCATCTTCTACATCATAGCATCATATTCTCTAGCTAGATGATAATTTTGCAGTAGATGCAGATAGTCAATTAGAAGGGAAGGGTACCGTAACTCTAACCCCTAACCCGAATTCAATATTTGATATGGACTAAAGAATCAATCTGAGTGGGGCAGAGTAAATAAACTAAACTTTGATTTTTCTATGCAGGGAATGGGGCAAGTGCCCTGCACCCGATACCAGAGACGCGGTCGGGCGCAGAAGACGTGCCGGCGGGTATGAGACTACACGGGGCACGCGCGCGTCTCTACACGTCCGTGCTAGCGGGCGCGCGCGCTGGTGATCAACTGGAGTGAGTATGACTGAATTTAATAGAAGTGCTGATAGGAGGGGACTAGTGACTCACAACCTTTGTGAAGCTGAAGACATGCAGGCTAGTAAGAGGCTGCACGGGGCACGTGTGCGTCTCTACACGTCCTTGCTAGCGGGCGCGCACGTTGGTGATCAGCTGGAGTGAGTATATCGTAACTATAGGGGGGCCTAGTGTCTCACAACCACCGAGGGGCTGAAGACGTGCCGGCGGGTATGAGACTACACGGGGCACGCGCGCGTCTCTACACGTCCGTGCTAGCGGGCGCGCGCGCTGGTGATCAGCTGGAGTGAGTATCATCATCATCAACAGCCTTTTACAGTCCACTGCTGGACTATGAGCCTCCTCCACTATGGAAAATGGTTTTTCCATAATCCCCACGCTTGGCAGGCGGGTTGGAGATCGCAGATTAAAAGATCGTAGAGTGAGTATATCCTGACTTTATTGTAATTCTGATAGCGGGACTAGTGTCTCACAACCCCTAGGAGGCTGAAGACACGTGGTTGGTAAGAATACACGTTCGGGCTCGCGGGCGCGCGNCGCAGACCTGCCCACGCGTGGGAACAACAAGACTGGTAACTTGATAGTCTGCAAGCAGCCGCTGCATAATAGGCTATAGTCAATTTACCTACTTCTTAATGAGATGATCCTCGACAGATTTTGAATGGCTAAAGATACTTTAACGACATCAAATCGTAACAGTAAACCCTAATTGTTTTGGTGTCTACTACCCAATTCTTCATTGAATCCGCATTCGGTATCACTTACAAACTACTTATTTATATGATCTTCTTAGAATAGTGGTGCTTCCACCAGATGAAAATATTCGAGCGCGAGATTTGAAAGACAAAGAAGCAAACTCTCAAGATGATGGTGAGTGGAATAAATCTCATTTGCTATAGTCTGGTCTGCGAGCACGTACCTAATGTCGTACGTAATGACCCCTGTCATTGGACAAAATTCTACGTGCTCACAGACCGGGCTTTACATCATAGTCTCTAGCTAAGTAGATGATGATTGTAAATATTTGTAAGATCAGAAGGGAAGAAGGGAAAGGGTACCGTAACTCTACCCTAACCCGAATTCAATATTTGAAATGGACAAAAGAATCAATCTGAGTGAGGCACAGAAAATGAACTAAGCTTTGATTTTTCTATGCAGGGAATGGGGCAAGTGCCCTACACCCAATACCAGAGACGCGGTCGGGCGCAGAAGACGTGCCGGCGGGTATGAGACTGCACGGGGCACGCGCGCGTCTCTACACGTCCGTGCTAGCGGGCGCGCGCGCTGGTGATCAGCTGGAGTGAGTATGATTGAATTTAATAGAAGTGCTGATAGGGGGGACTATTGTCTTACAACCCCCGAGGGGCTGAAGGCGTGCCGGCGGTTATGAGACTACACGGCGTACGCGCGTCTCCACACGTCCGTGCTAGCGGGCGCGCGCGCTAGTCATCAGCAGCTGATTGAGTAAGAATACCCTGACTATAATGGGAGTGCTGAATGCGGGGACTAGTGTCTCGCAAACCCTGAGAGGCTGGAGACACGTGGATGGTATGAGGCTATACGGCATATGCGCGTCTCTACTAGAGATGAAACGGATATCCGGTAACTATCCGGTAGGCCGGATATCCGGCCTAAATTTACTATCCGGCCGGATACCGGATAGTAACTCACTATCCGGCCGGATACCGGATATTAAAAAACTACGACAATTTCCTATTAATAAAATGAAATGCATTAATCTTTGAGGTAAATGTCAATAAAATTATAATAATGACGGCTTTTATTTAAAGTCCAAAATGTTACAAAAAAAAAACATGTTAAAGCCTTTCAAAAAACTAATTTCTTTTACTGGGCTATTCACTCTAATGACGAATACATAAATAGTAAATATCTGTTAATGTCGAAATATTGCCAAATAAAATAGGCGATCTTTTTTTCACTGATTATCTGATGACATGATGCTGTTCAGTCAGATTACGCAGCAAGTAAACTAATTCAATCACACATTCACGATGGCAACCGAAATCGCCCGAATTGATCTACCCCCTAGACAAGTGGCAAAATCTGACATTCTATTCGGACGGTTTCGATTTTTGAAACGAGCAGACGGATCACCTGATGGTAAGTGATTACCGTCGCCCATAGACACCCGCAGACTCAGGGGCGTTACAGGTGCGTTGCCGGCCTTTAAGGTAAGGATACGCTCTCGTCTTGAAAGCTTGCAGGTCGTATCCGTCCGGAAACACCGCAGACGACAGTCCATTCCACAGTTTGGTTGTACGGGGCAGGAAGTTTCTAGAGAAACGTACTGTTGTGGACTGCCAACCATCTAAGTGATGGGGGTGGAAGTGCTGTCGGGTAGATCGGTGGCGAAAAGTGGCGGCAGGAATAAGTGAGTATACCCTGACTATAATTGAAGTGATGATAGATCACAACCATTGTGAGGCTGAAGACATGCAGGCTAGTAAGAGGCTACGTGTGCCCCGTGGGGCATGCGCGCATCTCTACACGTCCGTGCTAGCGGGCGCGCGCGCTGGTGATCAACTAGAGTGAGTATGACTGAATTTAATAGAAGTGCTGATAGGAGGGGACTAGTGACTGACAACCTTTGTGAAGCTGAAGACATGCAGGCTAGTAAGAGGCTACACGGGGGCTCACGGAGTGAGTATGATTGACTTTAAGGGAAGTGCTGATAGGGGTTAGGGCCCACTCGTTCGAGGACCGCTCTCGGTACTCCTCTGATCAGCAGAGCTGACTGAACAGCGGCATGAAACAGACCGTAACCCGCTACGGTGGGCCAGGGGTCCTGATGTATCAGGGCCACGAGGAGAAAACTTCTATAAAAATCAACTGGAGGATTGGGGGTTCCCTCGAAGCCGGAGAGGCTCGCTCGTGAGGTTTTCGAAAGTTACATTTTCGTTAGGTCTTCGGTACGTTGGGTTAGGATTCGGGAAGTTAGGTGTCCGGTAAGTTCGGTTTTTGGACATACCTAGATTTTCGAAGAGTTAGGTTAGGTTTCCGAAAGATAAGATTTCATTAGGTTCTCGGAAAGTTAGGTATTCGAAAAGGTTTTCGGAGGTTTTTGGACATAGCTTTTCGAAAAGTTTTCAGTAAGTTAAGTTTTCGAAACCATTTCAACCCCATTCATCTAACTCCATTTTCAGCGGCATGTCAGCCAATGAAGAGTACGACACTCGAGTGCCAGACGATCCACTGCCAGAGGACGAGGTCCAACTGACCGAGGAACTTCAAATCATTCTCCCCCCACGATGCGATGACGTCACTGCCGAATCATCCGCCACCGCCTCCATAGATAGCTGACCAAGACGACTCGCCACGTGAACTCGATACCGTCTGTAAGACGATGCAACAAGGTTCATATTCTAATGAAAATTCGCTTAAAACGCCGTTGTATCGGCCTGAAAACGAAATTGAAAATTAATAGGCTGATACGGAATTACAGAAAGAAATTAGGTCGACTTTTTATGTTCATAGATTGGATTATTCAAGATATTCTTACAAAATATAATAATAAATAAGTGACATAGTTGTTTTATTTCGAAAAGGATTTATAAAATGTAGTACTTATTCACAGTACAGTGACAAATTAACACATTTTCAAAGCTTTACTAAAAAAGTGACTCTACACCAAACGCTAATGAAGATCAGAAAACATCATATATTCAGTTTGTATCACGAATTTTATGCATTCAAATAGCTGTTCATAAACTCGATTTCATATATTAGGTTTTACCTATTTCACTATAACACCAGTTCCTATATAACCTTCCCTAAAAATGGTAATGAGAGCTGATAAATGAAACGAAAAATTATAAGTGTGAATTTATATTGAATAACCTTTCTACAATATTATACAGCAGACTGTAAACTCATACCCACGCTCCCCTCGCAATATACAATACAAAGAACTTATACAAATACAACGATTAGAACCCATAGAAAACATAAATATTATACATCAGTGCGTAATTTGTATATTTTAATTGCACTTTATTTATTTTTATACTAATTCGAAACGATTGCGTTGTTGAATATACTAGGACTACAAAATTTTGATTAAAAAATCTTTTTTTAAAAGTAAAGCTTTAGTTCGTGGTTGTATTGCTTAATAGTTGACAAACCAACCGATTTTACATCTAATAGGTATATTACATTAAAACGGGTTCTATCGATTTGTCTAAAAGATATTATACCCTCGTGAGTATTCTGACAAAATTCTGTAAGTATTTAAAATTACTGCTCTGATATTTTCGTGGTTCCACTTTCACCAACGATTCTTCTCTATCATGGTAACATTGCCCCTGAATCAGATTCATATTAAATTTATAAAATATTTCAAGAATTTGGCTCGAATTTACTTGAGCGTGGAGCCTTACATATTCATACTTCACACATTTCAGAAATAGTCACAGATATTCACGTAACCTTAAATTCAATAACACATCAATAGGGTTAATCATGATGGAACCACGAGCTAACATCCGATTGGTCGACTTGCTTTTGGTCAGCCAATCACAGCTACAAATTAATAAACGACAGAGTTTGGTCAGAATACTCGAGAATACAACGGAATACTACCGCATCGACTCGACTTTCATTAATAAAAATATATAGGGAACCTTAGTGTCACATTTCTGAATACTTTATGCTCACATGCTGTCATAAATATACGCACCCAACTATAGTCTGGTCTGTGAGCATGTAGAATTTTGTCCAATAACCCCAAGCTACCCATCCTTATCGCTCGCGCGTAATTATGTTGCTGTCGCGCTCGCACAGTCACTGCGGGTGCCAGCCGCGCAGTCGCGACGGCAATATAATTACGCGCGAGCGATAAGGATGGGTAGCTAATAGGGGTCATTGGACAAAATGCTACTGCTCTCACAGACCGGGCTTTATAATAACTCAATCCACAGTACAAATAGCACATACATAATGATAAAGGTACAGATAAATTATCACATATAACAGGTGAGATTGACAGTGGAAATAGTACCAATAAATTGTTTCATTCGTTCGAATCAAATTCACTAGGAGTAAACAAATCAAATATACGAGGCAAGAAAATGTAACAAATATAAGTTGGAGCAACACCCAGGATTAATGAGAGGAACTTGAACTTATGTAATAAGCATTCTTCGTGGTCATCCGAAGTTTCGAATGTTGCCTGCCATCTCTCTCACGCAAAGCGAGATGCCAGCATGAACGACAGTGATGATAGATTTGAAAGAACATAAATAGCGTTTCTAAGTAGCCCTGCAGTTTTGTTTATTTTTGGCATTATTGCCCAACTTCCGCGTATATACGCTTAGTAAAAAATCTACTTAGCACTTTTCTTATGGCGGACAGCCAAATCACATTTTTTTGTGTCTGCGTCCAATAACGTTAAACAAGGTACAGAGATATATTGCTGTCCCTCTCATCCCCTCCTGGGCCTCACAAAACAAGATGGTCCCCAATCTACCCTCAGTATTACATCGAAAGCGAAGCAGTCACAGCTACGAAAACCTTCGACCAATCAACAACCCCTCACTGTTTTGTATGTACATAACGTTGGGCATCATATGTACAGTATTCGGTTAAATCCTTGCGACTTGACTATTGCCATATACAGATTGAGGCCAAGTGATATGGGAGTTTATAACTTGGTTCTTAGTTTTTACAGTTCATTAAACAAAAATACAACATTTTTCTAAAAATAATTAGGGCCGAAAAATAGTCAAAATAAAGCCCCGTTTTCACTTGAGAACAATGTGAACGCAACAGTTGCTCAAACTGGCGACAACATTGTTGACAATTGCGATATTCAGCATAGTTGCCAAACATTTTGAGCGTCAATTTATTGCCACACAAGTTTCTAAGTGAAAACTACAATAGATATTATATTTTTTGTGACAGAAAAATTGCCAATATTTGATATTACAATGAAACAACACTTCTAAATTTGTCTAGGCCAGCTTAACAATATAAAAATATAACATAAAAACAGTTGGGTTTCCTTATGCACTAAACGACCATGGAATTCAGAACCCTAGCTAGAATACCGTGTCATACAGTTTGTATGGATTACGTTATACTCTCGGAGTTCTGTCAACGGTCGACCAGTATACGACAATAGTCAAGCTACCTCACTTACATTAATCGCAGGCGTGCATTAAGCTATTTACGTTACGTAATTTAATAATTAAAATTGCATTCACATTTCACACGTCTCATGTCTTCATAATAATCAATTCGATCTTCATCTGAATTAGAAACTTCAAATGTCTACCTATCATACAAAAGTTGGAGGTAAACATTAAATTAATTGTAATAATAATAATAAAAACTCATTTACTCTACGTAATCATTCTTTTTAAATAACATAAAAAAATAATCAAACATTTCGATACAACAATCGCTCTGTATTTTAAATTAAATAATGGAATAATTGATTTGATATTTGTGTGACGTTGTTCACTCGATCTAGCTATTAATTGAGTCCGGACGACGCACTACAGTGACGCTCACACACACTGGGTCACGTGGAAGTTACTCGGTTCAACGCGCGCGCTGTTTACTTAAATTAAATGGCATCGATATCCTCACCTGGAAAATAAATTAAATTTATGATAAATAGATATTCTAAGAATAAAGTAGGAATGGGTTTTCTGGAGTATACATATCTTGCACTCATCTCATTTAGCAACGGAACTTGTTGAGAAAGCGTCAACGTCAAGTTCCAATAGTTTATAAGCAAGTGTGCGATCCGCATCGTGTAAGTAGTTGACGAGATATCTATTGTACAACTAGTCGCTATCACGTCGCCAGTTAAATAAAACTAAAAAGTTAAATAAGTCTAAAATAAGGGCCAGCGCAGACTTGGCGAAATTTAGTTTTCATGAAATTCCAAGCGTCTCCAGAAGTAGTCGCGAGCCGGCTTTCGTAGCAACTTAACAGCACTTGCGAGCCGTATGCAATCTTTATCTTTGGGTCATTTGAAATCATTCACGACTGATTTTGAACCATAGGACATGAAAAATTGTTTTTTTTTCTTGGTCTCTTCGTCGCGCCTCGCCAGATATGTACTGGTCTCTACATGTATAGTTTTTGCAACTCACGAAGGCGAGTGAGTGAGCTTTACTTGTGTGTGTACGTGTACACGCACATAACAATAGTGTAATGTCTGTCAAAACTTTTGAAAAATGAACAGTAGTGAACCACTACATACATACATGTTATGTAAAGCTAACTCGCCTTCGTGAATTGCAACAACTATACTAGGTATCTGTGTACGTACCGTGGCGTGCGAGCGGCGGGCTTGGGGCGGGCGGCGGCGGCCGCCTACTCCGCAGCTCATAACTTGTGGTTGCTGGTGAGCCACGTGAGCCCCTCGTAGAGCCCGTCGCCCGACGTGGCGCACGACGGCTGCACGTACCAGTTGCGGTCGCGGATGCGCGTCAGCCCTAACTTCTCTTGGATCTCGTGTGGCTTCATTGCTGGAATGGCAAGGAAATTGATTTATTAAGATTACTAATAATATCTTCGTTACCCTAAATAACTTCATTCATATCACTAATAAAGAAAATGAGGGCATAATTAATAACGTAATAATAATTATTATCAGTCATACTCGTAAACAGTTTCTTCCGCTTCGTGACACATATTGCACATTCTTGATTGGGAGACTTAAAATAATCGTCCCATTTTAGGCTGTTGTGACACAATTAAACATGCTGTATTTTTTTTAAAACGGAACTGTTCCCACCGCTGCAAGGCTGCAACTCCTAGTGTAGCCAAGATTTACAGCTTGACCACCAACAAAATGGAAGGCCAAATTTATCTCGGGGGAAAGTTAACTTCTATCTATCTATCCGGTCATCGACCTCTTGGCCGGTTCGGGTATCGAGCTGACGCTCATAATCCGTGCATATTCTCGCCTGGACACATCCAGACGGTGACGGGTGCCGTTGTTTGCGCAACGGATTTGCTGCTGCTCGACTTTGACACCACTGTCCCGCACTCGGCGCGGTACCAGCCCACCGGATGAGACGACGTTGGTCGAGGCCCAGTGAACAACCAGCGAGCGTTAAGTTAACTTGACATTGCCTCGTAAAGAAATTAATCAAAAGAACTGTCCGTTAAGTCCTGCTTGTCAGTGAATATGATACTGATCACACTATATGTACATTTTAGTTGCAAAAATATCTCATATTACAAGTACGTTACGTACCATCAGGCAAGTCCTGCTTGTTGGCGAAGATGAGTATGATGACGTCGCGTATCTCCCTGTCATTGCAAAATAGCGCCTATTACAATGACGTTACGTACCATCAGGTAAGACCTGAGGTGGAATTGTGTAAAAAAATCGTAATCATTTGACAGTTCATAACGTACGATAAAGTCAGTTAAACAAAGCGTTTGACAGAATAATCGTACGTTATGAACTGTCAAATGATAACGATTGCTTTACACAATTCCACCTCTGCTTATTGGCGAAGATGAGTATGATGACGTTGCGTATCTCCCTGTCATTGCAAAATAGCGCCTATTACAATGACGTTACGTACCATCAGGCAAGTCCTGCTTGTTGGCGAAGATGAGAATGATGGCGTCGCGCATCTCCCTATCATTGATGATCCGGTGGAGCTCCTGGCGCGCCTCGTCGATGCGGTCGCGGTCTGCGCAGTCCACCACGAATATTAGACCCTGGGTGCCTGGAAACGATATAAGATTCTGTTAGTATTGGTAGAAATGACCGGTCAAATTACACAAAGAAAAACAAAACACTGGGTTCGTTTCAACTAAATGTCGTCCACTGCTGGACAAAGATCTCCCCAAGTATTTCCACAACGAACCCATATGCAGGCGCTTCCCGTTATCTTCACCAGATCGTCAGTTCATAGAGTGAGAGGTGTTATTCTACGTTTTCCGGTCCATGGTAGCCACTGGTTAACTTGGTTGTCAACTTTTCTGCCATCAATCAGTTCTACGAACTATATGCCTCGCCAACTGGCACTTAATTAAGTTTGGCAATTCTGTGGCCTGGGTACTTCTATGGGCTCTAGAATTATGATTCGACATTGATAGCATACATACTACACTATTTGAGCCATAGGATAGGACGCCAACTGCTGAGTGAACATAGGCCTTCTCTAATGATTTCCACAATGGCTGATTGATAGCGGCCTGCATCTAGCACCCTCCTGCTACCTTTATGAGGTCGTCGGTCCACATTGTGACTGAGAATTTAACTAAGAAATAAATAAATAATTTCAAAATGTTTTGGAGATTTCTTACCCGTATAGTAATGCCTCCATAGCGGTCGTATTTTGTCCTGCCCCCCAACGTCCCAGACGTTGAATTTGACGTTTTTATACGTGACGGTTTCCACATTGAAGCCGACCGTCGGTATCGTTGTGACTGACTGACCTAATTTTAGTTTATATAAAATAGCTGAGCTCGGTGCTAAGGAAATCATCTGTCAAATCTCATGTATTTATTCTTTAGGCGGTTATCACACTGCGCCGCGCCCCGCGGCGGAGCGCGTGATTTTCATATAAAAAATCACGCGCGCGGACGCGTTGTCAGTGTGAACTGCCGCGCGTTTTCTATACAAACTGAGGTACTTGCATACAATGAAAAAATCTGTCGCCCCGTGCTCCGCGACGGAGCGCGGCGCAGTGTGATAACCGCATTAATGCCACACAATAATTGGTACACCGTTCGTTCGTTTGCCGAATGACGTCCACTGCTGGACAAATGCCTCCCTCAAGGATTTCAAGGGAGGTTCCTGGATGCAGGAATTGGTACTATAAGGAACAAATCCCATTGGGTATTCTCTGCCAGATTCTCATTCATTCTCATCATCATCAGGGTACTACAGGAGCACGAATGTCTCTGATTCACCAGAGGTAAACGATGGATCATCGTTATAAGTCATTTAATTTCCACTGCAACACGACCTACTTATTTACCTAAATGGAGGATTTGGCCTACACTCCCCACGCTGACCAGACGGGTTGGGGAGTCCTGATGTTCACGTATTTGTACCTTATTCGCCTTTTTATTAACGGGAAGTGTGTCAAATCAGTGTGTAAGATAATAAATGATTCAAACCTATTGGTGATATACTGCTGGTTAATATTTAGGTTTCCAAAGCAGACTATCCATTAATAATATGGCTTCCTCTTTACTTTTGGAACGTGTATAATTCGGAATGCGCCATTAGATTTCAGCTTTCCATTTATTTACCACAAAAATGACACAGTTTAGCGTTTAGTTTAGTTTACGGCAAAATAGCACTAATTATAACTAAATAAGAAACCATAGTGTTTGGATTGATGTGCTTTGTATCTTAACGTCAGTTGTAAAAATAGTACTCGATAATTACAAACGAAGAATTAAACTGGAATAAATTATGTTCAATCTATACTAATATTATAAATGCGAAAGTAACTGTCTGTCTGTCTTGCTTTCACGCCTAAACCACTGAACCGATTTTGATGAAATTTGGCATAAAGATAGTTTGAGTCCCGTTAAAGGACGTAGGATAGTGTTTATCCCGGTTTTTGAAACAGGGACGCGCGCGATAATGTTATTCTGTGACAGACATTCCACGCGGGCGAAGCCGCGGGCGGAAAGCTAGTTGTTCATAAATAATAGTATACAGTAAACTGCGTATTTAATTATAGGTACTTACTTCTACACGTGTAACCCAATAGATATAAGTATTTATTATTCATAGAACACTGAGTGACACTTTTCATTTCGCTAAGCAAAATGTATTGTCGAGCCACATAAATCTAAGGTGTGGTATTAGAAAACTCCCAGACAGCATAATGAATAACTTAACATACTATTAACCCATTTAGTATATCTTGAATATGCAGACAGATTTGATGTCTTTTGTCTGTCTGCGTACGAAATTGTTACTAGTAAGTCTAAAATTATGATTTAACTGTGAAAATTCTAAATAACTACAGAAGAGTTTAAAAGGGTCTCGAGTTTAAAGATTATTGACTTATTGTGAAATGTTTGAATTCCAAATCTCACAGATTTCGTAATAATTTTTTACTTTTATTTTTGAAAAGCCTATCAGTTAACTCTACAACGAACTTTCTAGGTGGTAAAGAATTAATAAATTTATGATAGAAGATAAATTGGCCTAATTAATTAAATACCCCATTTCTGCGTGAAACGAAAACAATCTGTAGATTTAATTTTATAGCCTGACCAGGAACATAAAAACCCTGGCACAGAGGCGCTTCAATTGCATTTGATAGTGCAACACTGAGTACAGTCGTACATGTGTTAAATTAATAGGCTAAATTTATGTATCAGGATTCAGGATTACGGGCTAATTTGATATTTTCATAAATTAACGAAAAATATTATTAAAGATAACCTGGTATAAATAAATTAAATGAAACCATCAATCGAGCTAGTAGGATTTATTTTATTATTCATCAATAATCAAATTCAGAACATAAATATTCAACTGCAATGTCTGCTCATGAACGCTTCAAACTCGGTACTTCTTTCCCAATTCCATAAAATTCAAAACTTAGAAAGTGACAAAAAACTTTAAAATAGGTAGTTGAAACAGACTACAGCTAATTTTCATAGTGGACTGTACCATACGATAAACATGTCAGTCAATTTGACAACCTTTGTCGGAAACATTATTCAATGAAAATATTGTCCGAACCCTTAGTATTTCTCTTCGAAAAATACATTAACACATCGTGAACCACTTTTCTTTCACGACTATAAACATATTTTAGCAATTTAATTCACAAAATCAATTGCGCACATTTAAAATAAAGTTTGTTTACACTATGACAGCAATAGACTGACATGCAAGGTGACATGTCAATGAAGTTTTCAGTTACTGTTGCCATTAAAAGAAATTAGTACCATTAGTTTTCCGCAACATGGCGAGGGTTTTTATGTTCCTGGTCAGGCTATAATTACAACACTGCGAGTGGTTCTAATTCAAATCATACCTAATTATAACCAATGTGACAAATTAAAAAAATAAGAGTAACAATAATATCAATCGTGTATTTGAAACCACCTTTTTAACTTTATAAAAGTACTAATATTTATTAATGTTTGTTTACAATAAATCTCATTTATCTTCATTAGTCATGGTGCCCAAATCAAATTAATTGAGTCATTAGCAAGAATACACTAGGCAAAATTTAAAATAATTTACAATAAGCTTGCTAACGACTTTTCAAAGTTAATAAAAAAAGGTTTTATTGACAATATCTTGTAAACAAGCAACGCTTGACTAACCGCTATGATTATTGGTAAAATTGTACAGACGGCACATCAAGTTTTTCACTGTGGCATCTTATGTATTGGAAATAAGGGCTCTTTTCAAATAACAATGCACAGTCAGATGAGCATTAGATGTATGAAAATTCCTCGCAGAATAACTGAAGCGCTCTTTTTGTTAAATTATCGGTTGTCGTAATTTATGCGACTGATTTTCGACTGAGTGAGCAACTAGCTATGAAATTATGCTCTGAATTAATAAATAATAATTTTAACTAGAAAACCATTAGTTACAGTTGGTGTGATAAATATTCCATATTAAAGGATAATATGGCACACGTCAAGAAGTTAATTTATGCAGTTTATTTATAGAAAAAAAAATTGTTTAGGACATTAGTTCTCCTCAATCCGTCTAGCCAGCAAGGATTGTGGTAAATTAGAGGGTCGTCTGAAATTGATACTGAGTAATCTGACGATGATGATGACTATTTAAGAAGTAATTAGAGATGTAGTAATTAATCCTCTGGTGAAAGATAATTTATTAAAATGTAGAAGAAACCTTCTGGTTTCTTATGCTTGTTTTAAAAAGGATACTAGTCTTGCCGGCAGCGTCTAGGCCCAGCATCAATATCCTCATCTCCTTGTTCCCGAAGATTTTCGAGAGTAGTTTGCCCATGGTGATCAGCTCACCTCAACCGCACAACTGAAAATAGAGAATAATTTTATTGCAATTAGGTTGAAATCAGTTTGACACACAATAAAAGGTAAATTTGACACACATACAAGTTTTTGTATTACAATATTTACAATCATTACTGACATCTGAATGATAGAATTTGAATTCGACGCTTCAGGTCACGGACAAGAAGTAAAAGGAAAGGTTGTATTATTATCAAAATCAGTTCAAAGTTTCAACAAATTACAAAGAAGATTTAATATATTTGAGAGAATAAAATAATTCGTCAAATTGGACCACTTCTCAAGTTTTGCGGTTTGAAATTTAGACTAATTTTCTGTTCTGGGTTCGACTAAATATCAATGTTCGAAATAACATTGGTATAGTTTGAAAACTAGGTTAATCCAGCTAGCAAGATTGGCTAATGACTCCAATCTAGCTATCATATCAATCTGTGGATTACTGAACGGACCGATTTAAGATCTCAAATTAGACTCGTCCATTTCATCTGCAATTTCATTCTAGGCTAATGTGTAATCAGCTATACTGGCTATACCGTTAACATTTGTATAAAAGACACTGTATTTTTTGTCGAGAGCCTTTTCAAACGAAATTTCTCGTTCTTTATCTTATTATCAGTCAATATTTACTTCTGAAGATCCACTTACAACACCAATATCGTGATTTGGCAATACAGAAAGTTTTAATTGAACTTTCATCTTCGTCCAAATTGAGATTCTAAAATTAGAACAGCGTGTACTTTATACATTTGGAGGGTATACTTCCTGCTTTCAGTATATCCCATAATAAGAGAATGTGAATTGGACGATTGCAATCTGGTATAGATCGTTTCATCCACGTAGACACGCCCCACCAATTTTTGCTCGAGGGAAGCGCGGGGTGCGTGCATGCATGCTTGGTGTTTCTTTGCGAGATCGAATCAGAAATGAGGAGATCCGTAAACGAACCAAAGTCGCTGACATAGCCCGACGGATTAGCAAGCTGAAGTGGCAATGGGCAGGGCACATAGTACGCAGAACTGACAGCCGATGGGGCAGAAAGGTTCTGGAATGGAGGCCGCGTACCGGAAAACGCAGCGTGAGACGTCCACCTACAGGGTGGACCGACGAAATCGTAAAGGTAGCAGGGAAGCGCTGGACGCAGGCCGCTACCAATTGATCAACATGGAAAGCATTGGGGGAGGCCTATGTTCAGCAGTGGACGTCCTATGGCTGAAATGATGATGATGATGATGATATACCGATAACATTCAAAATTCAAACATTAGCGGAAGAATGGTGGGGTGCATCTTCGTGGATGAAAGGATCTATAAACAGCGTTTGTGGCAATAATCTTCTTTCCTTACATAACAATACTACAACTAAATAAAATAATATTTCGAAAATTTACAAAAATATAAGGTTAGTCCAAATTATTTTCTTAAAACATTTTGCATAAATTTTACTATAACGCAAGATACCCCCTCCAATCAGGCTTGACCTCTAATTTCTTCCATCGATCCTTCCACTTCATCTGAGCACCGATCCTCAGCGTGATCATTAAAATCTTTTGCGTGAACGCCGTTCGAGTGCCGAGATAAATTTAACTTTATGAGAAACTAGCTTCTGCTCGCGACTTTGCCTTCTCAAACAGCAAAAAGTAGACTCGTAAAACTAAAAGTCATTGCTTTTACAAAAAAAGGTATTATAATTAATGAATGAACTGTTCTGATGCAAATTAAAACTAGGAGAAATGAAGGAGTGGAGGAAGACTATCGTGAAGGAGTAACAAACGTACATCCCCACAAAATTTGTATTTATAATATGTATAGATAGATATGGGGAATATGCGTATAGATTGATACCACAGTATGTCAATTTAGTTTTTAAAACTCGTACAAAATAGGTAGGTACGAACAAAATATCCAAACTTTCGATATTCTAGAGGTCTGAAAGAGAAAGAACAGTCTATTTATTTCAAAATCATTGATCTTATGGATGTAGTTGATTTTCGTAGCCTGATCATGCTTAATAAAGGTATAAAGAAGTCACTTCAGACACGACCGAAACACTCACTTCCGCGCCTTATCAAAAACGGCATTGTAAGGATAATAAAGATAAAATTTCATAATAGAGCCGCTAAAAAGGAAATCTCCTATTGTGAGATTTGAAAGACATCCCACGAGCAACACCTACTATGTCAGCCGATGCCCTAGATACGCTGCGGCTAAATATAGACAGACTAAGAGCCCTTTTCTAAGATTCTTGTGAAAGCTATCACAAATCGTATTACTGATGCGAGTTGATAGAAAACGACAGTAATGGATCTAAGCATATTAGATGGAATAAAAATGAAATTGCTAATAATAGATATCAGAAAAATACGTGGAGTTTTCTCGACGCGCATTAGTTGACAAAGGTTTCTACGCCATTAGTAACTTGATATTCCTAGTACCTATTTGTAGGATTTAGTATCAATACTGGTCCTATTATTATAGAGCAGTTTCGATTCACGCGACAGAAATTGCTCACAATTGGTCGCAATAGGTTAGCACGAATCTGACACTACATAGTGTAGATAACCTGGTTAGGAAAGGTCGCCTGGAGAATCAAACTACACCTATAAACTGACGAGTGCTCGCTAAAAAGAGCAATGAACTCCGCAAATGTCACTTAAGGGAAATACACATTTATTACAGTCGTCCTCTTGAATGTCTGTTATCTGTTACTAAGTCATAAAGTTTTTATGCAGGGTTCCTAACGAACCGTTTGAAAAATGCAAGTAAACAGTTAGCTATAAAGAAATGTTACGTCGACGAATGGCTGAATTATTACTTTTTATTAGCATGAAAGAAATGCCACATTTTCTAGAAACAAGTTCATTACAAAAAGACGTAGGTGACATTCCGCGACCTGTTACGTGGATCAACAAAAATCGATAGAGCGGTTGTTTTTGTATAAAACATCACCTACAACAAACAATACATTATAGACACAACGATGAGAAAGTAAAGTACACAAAGCACACAAAGGATTATCCTCGAAGTTATTTTTGGTTGCTTTGGTAATGATTCGCAACATTTAATAGTCTCTTAATATGAGCCTGGTTAATGATGAGTAATAAACAATTGGCGACATTAATAGGCACAAGTATTGGTACCATAAACAAAATAAAGCTTTAACGGCGTGCCTCGGAACCATAAAGGTGAAACGAGGGTATGTCAGCGGTTTAAACACGGAACCTAAATTGGGTCGACGTATCCTAACGTCAATGTATTTCAAGAACACGCCACGCTTAAACGACGTGGAAGACTGATAAGCGGTTACGTATTTAAAAAGAGATGAAGACCAGAAGATGGTTGTCGTTGTCATGAATGAAGTTGATAAGAAGACAATAAACCAATCGCAAGTTCATAATACCGAAATAACAAATAAAAACATGCAAACTCTTACTACGGAAAACTTCAATGAAGTTATAACTCAAGATCATTATGATTGAAGCACAGACGTGTTGAAATTAAGTAGCCGACATACAATTTTGGAGCATACCGTTCTGTTGTTCATAAAACAATTTCGCCAGTATTGTGGTAAGCATACGAGTTCGGGGTCAATGGTTATCGCCGGAAACTTGTTCCACGAAAACTAACCGTTACCGTTTCAAGATACGGAAATAAAGAAATTCGGTAATGTTACGCCAAAAACGGTTAATTAGTTTGAATGCACCGTCATTATGTGCAGATTTGATGTAGCAACAGATTCTTTCGCATACTTACATGAAGTAAGAGATGTAATATCTGACGTAATCAACTCGTACGGACAATGTGACGGGATGCAGCCTTTGAGCAATTAGTTTGCAATTGAATTGTTGACTCCAGTTCACGGCCCAGATGTCAGCTGTTAAAGTTATGTTGAGAATTTACAAGCACATAGTAAAGTTTGGGATCGACAACGTAAGACTTCATAGTAATTAATTTGATATGAATAATGTTGCAAATCGGAAAAAATCTGGAGAAATTATTTTTTTACGTAATGAAGATTAAGCTCGTGAGCGCGAACTTAACGACAGATTTAATAATACACATTAAATAGATACTTGTAAATAATAACCACGTACCTACATAAAACCAATATAATTAATTCTCCAGAGTTACGAAACAACACAATCCAACTGTTTTTAATGAGAAATCATGTACGTACATACAATAAATTTGCGAACGACAACAGAAATAATTGGAATGAATTAACTAAAACCGAGAATTTGAGATCCGCGTTGTAAAGAACTGTCACGAAAACAACTTCAGAACTTCGAATTATGTTTTCATTTGACTTTCAAAGTATAGCCCTGGGTCAAATTCAAAGTGTATTTAGTTTTTAAAGTAAACCTCATTAATATCTGAGTTGCGGGGAAGAGTCGCGGAGTTGGCTGTCAACATCAGGGCCGCCCCTTTATTTCCGTCGGGTCATCGCCTAGGGCGTTAACCATTTCCATGCCATTTCCTTTGCGAAGCCAATCGTTATGATGAAGCATCAGATGCGGTTAGATTTTCAAGATCCTAAATGGAATAATAATCAGAGAGCTGGATAAGACTTCGCCTTTTAAATCCATATTTTTTCCATCATTGATTTTAAATCTTTTCAATTAGTTGTTACAGGTTACTAGTGTTTCCTAGAAATAATCCATAAACTTTTAACTATTTCAATGCTTCGCTTAGCATCAGAAATTCCTGTCATTTTTAAAGTCTGGGCGTGATTCTCCTAAATGTAGTTCAGCTCGACATTCAGTTTATTTAGTTTCGATGGTATACAAACAGTCTTAGATATTAGTCGACATAATTTTTATGAACGTACATTTCGGGAGCATTTATTATTCCAACAACATATTTATCGTCCGTTTATCTGTTTCAGAGTCAGCCTAACAGCGATTTAAACAAAACGCACGGTTTTATTTACTCTGTAAACTAAATGGAGCGTATCCCCTCGCAATAACATTAGCAGGATAGCAGATTATCGGAACCCCTGCAGCGTAAA